GAACTGCTCTGGTATGTGAAAGGTCACCTGAAGCAGCTAATATTTTGCGGGCTGCCTCGTCGGCCAACTGCTCCTGCCACGCGTCAAACAGTTGTTTCCGAAGTGGAGCTGGAGAGGTGGTTGCGAGCGGGGTAGGCATCCCTTCCTTGCTTGTAACCAGACACGGGCTAGAACACGTCCAACCTGTTCTGGCTAAGCTCAGGAAAGCAGCTCCAAGAAGATCCCTTCTGCGACTCCATTCCAGAAAGGGCAGTTCCAACACACTACAGGCTAGTTGTCTGGTGTCAGGAAGTCGGAACTACGATTCGGTGGGGTCTGGGGTGGCTGGAAACGCGATCAGGCTACAGTATATGCGTATGCGCGGGCCCGGGGCAGCTATTCAAGTGGGGTCCTCGAGCACGGCCAGGCATGGGCTGGGGATCCTGTAGCACACTTCGAGCCAGCTGCGTTCAAAAAGAGATAGCAGGCGTCCGAGAACTCCTGCTCTATGTGGGCATGTACCCAGCCTGGCGCATACAGGCTCTTATAGGCCAATATCAAGCATGTTGTAGGCCAGTGTTCCAGACTGTCTTCGTGTCAGCTCCTGCAGCACGAAGGGCACGCAAACGAAGCAGGCGCTTCTTCACCTCCACCCCTCGTCTCTTGAGTGGATTCCTTCTCTTGCTCCTGATTAGTGTGGCTCCTGCGGTGAAAGCGCCTGTTTGTCGCAGCTGGCTCGGCCGTCCTGGCCTGAGGACCACCCACTGATCGAACCTGGTCTCAAGATCGGCCTGGATCTCGGGCGTGGACGCCTCAACAACAGCCCTACGCTTGGCGATGGCACAGCGAAGATAGACGACGCTCGACTGATACATGCTGAGGCCGTGGCTAAATCGGCGATCAATGTGTTTGGCTTGCTGTTGTGGCCATCATAAAGTCATCGATGCACATCGTCGGTTCTGGGCCACGCAGATGTCAATTGGTGGCAACAAATACAGCTGCACAGCAGAGGGAGCAGTCCAACATCCTGCTGGTATACATCTCAACGGGCAACCTGCGGGCAGGGCTGATGCAAGAGTGGCCACTATGCAGGACGCCTGGTACTGATTGCTGACATTGGCTCCCACAGAGTCCAATAAGTTTGTCTCAATGGCGCGGCCTCTCCAAAGCTAACAGTCAACATACGAATAGTACTTCGGTAGGTCCCAGAGAGCAGCTGCCGAGAAAATCTTCTTCCCACCCAAGAACAATCCTTCAGCTTGCGTCAACTGCTCGGAAACAACTTGCAGAACACCTTTGCCTGCATTCTGCGCCAGATACCTCCGAGGATGGGCTCGTTCCCAGGCTCGAAGCCCAAGTTGCCGATGTTTACCCCAGCCTCTGCGAAATCCAGGCGGAGGAGAAGAAGCCAGCCGGAGGAGGAGGAGGAGGAGGAGGAGGAGGAGGAGGAGGAGGAGCGAGGGGTAGGAGTAGGAGTAGGAGAAGGAGTGGGAGGAGGAGGAGGAGGAGGAGGAGGAGGAGGAGGAGGAGGAGGAGGAGGATAAGGAGGAGGAGGAAGAGGAGGAGGAGGAGGAGGAGGAGGAGGGGGAGGAGGAGGAGGAGGGGGAGGAGGAGGAGGAGGACGGAGGGGGAGGAGCGAGGAGGAGCGAGGAGGAGCGAGGAGGAGCGATCAGGGGCTGGTCCTCCGCCGCACTGCAGCAGCAGCCCTGCATCCCCAGCGCACCCCCCAGCTGCGCGGCGGCCCAGCCCAGGGCTTCCGCGGCGGCCATCGGTGGGCCCCCGCGCCTCGGCGCAGAGTCCCCCTCGAGGCCGTCAGGCCCCGAGAGGGGCGGCCACGCCGCGGGCCTGCGGCGGCATGGGCGGCGCGGCCGCCGCAAGGGCCGCACGTCGGGCGGGTGGTGACGGGGCGGTGACCTGCCCTGAGATCCTGGCGTCGCACTTGCTTCACAACGACGGCTCTCAGGGCAGACGGCGGGCGAAGGGAAGGGCCCTCGGGAGGCCCTCCTGTTCACCCGCCGTTTCGGTCGGCCCCCACTGCCACCCGCCCGAAAGGTGCCGAGGGCTGCCGAGGCTCGCGCGCGCGCAAGCGCGGCTGGCCCGGCCTCGCGCCCACCTGGGTCCGAACGGCTACCGCCAGGACCCTTGGCCCAGACTGCCGCGGCGGCGTCCGTGGCGTTACGCTGTGCTCTATGCGGGCGCATGGCGCCTCGCTCCGCTCCGCGGTGCGGGAGGCGGCTGGAAAACCGCTCGGGACGTGGACGCTTGGGAACTGGGAAGTGGTTTTCAGACGAAGCCAAGACGGCGGCAATTCGGGTGAAGATAACTCGACAATCTCTGAGATCCGCCAGCTCGTGCCGCGGCCTACTCAAAGCGTTCCCGAACGCTCTGAGAGCGTCCTGGAACGCTCTGGAACGGATGTATCTTCGTCCTAGCCCCGCCCGATGGTTTTATCGTATCGCGCCGAACCGTGGTGGGCCAGAAGCGGCGGCGCGACACGCTGTGCTAAAGTCTTCTGGCCGTATCGTAGGCAGCCTCATGTTTATCCGACACCTGCAGGTCATATTTCTGACAAGCCGCCCAGGCGGCTGTAGGTTTTAGAACTTGCAGGACGCACGCAGCCTGTTGAGCCCCAGCGGGGGTGTCCGATACCTCAGCGTCGGTTGGACCCGTAGGGGTACGGCCAGACCTAGGACATAATAACATCCTTCAAGAACATGAGACCTTCCGACGGCCAAAGCACCCCGAGCACCGATGGCACCCTCCCCCCGGATGCACAAGAACATCCGACGAGCACGAAGAACACTAGGGCACTCTCCCCGAGCCGACCTCGCTCGTGTACCTCGGCCGGGAGGCTCGGGGAAGAGCATCGGGAGCGGCCAAGAGGGGGATGTCCACGAGGGGGGGGTGCAAATCATGACCGGCGGCATGTGCGCGGCCCAGCGGGGGGGCCAGGGACGTAATGAAATAAGAAGAGGCGCCACGAAGTCTGGGGAAATATCATGATATCCAACCCCCCCTAGTCATCACCCCCCTCTTTGCCGCCCCCGAGGGAAGAGCAGGGGGATGAGAGAGGAGGGAGGAGGGCCGGAAGGAGGGGGGGGGGAGGCGCGGGTCCCCCCGGCCTCCGAAAGAAGGCATGAGAGAAACTGCTCCGAGCCGAGAGCCTCGCACCTCGCCCTCCCTCGCCTGCTCGCCCCAACCAGTGCTGGGCCACCCTTCGGACCCCCCGTCGGCTCCCACCTGGGAGTCCTGGCGAGCAGGATCCTCCCTGGGGCGTCGGCACAGGCAGGAGCTGGGGGGCCGGATGCGAACCCTATACCCCTACCCCCCACGATTTCTGAGGGGGAGGGTGGGATCTCACTTCGCTCCCCTCCGAAATCCTTCCCCTCGGAAATCGTGGGGGGTAGGGGTAGAGCTCGCATCCGGCCCCCTTAGGAGCGCGCCCATGCACGGGGTGCCGCGCACGCGTGGTCGCGCAGGCCCCCCCCCCCGGGGCCGCCGTCCGCACAGCCGCCCTGCGCGCACCAGCGGACCCGTCTAGAACCCGGGAGGCCGAAGGGAAGACGAAGGAGGGAGGAGGGGCGGGAGGAAGGAGAGGTCACACTGTTTTGGCCCGAGAGGGTCCCAAAGGCCCCACAAAGAGCACCCGCATGCCCCAACAGGCTTCCAACACACGTGATCCAGTGGGGTCCAGAGGTTGAGCATTTCTCGCGGTAGGAGAAAAAAGGCAACCCAACCTAAGCCGAAGACGAGCGATGCTTCGGGACACCACGCTGACCGAAGCCAGGGTAAGCCAAGCTAAGATATTACGAGGGACGGACCTCCAGGAATTTCAGTGCTAGCGCGGGCCATCGAGATCCTGGGCTCAACTAGGACGTGTGTCGCAAAGCTCACCAAGGCTAGCCAGAGACAACATCACAGAAGGTGGAGCAACGAACAGTCGAGGTTGATAGGAGAGGGCACGCGAGAGGACACAAGACCATTCCGAGGGCCACATTGCCATTGGAATGTAGGACCCTTCTGAGGGCCACTTTGCCATAGGAATGTAAAAGGCATGGGGCGCGAAACACAGGACACAACGCGTACCATTGATCTGGAAGGGTCGACCTACTCGGCCTACTGATCAGCCTAGACTGTAAGGCTCGCGTAGCTGAGCTACCCCGGAGTCATGCTCATGGTGTCCCATGCCTTGGCGTCAGCCGTGTCCCCCCCTCTGTCTGTCACTGCTGCTGCTCCCTGACGCTGCGGTCAGCAGCTCCCTCCAGGGATCGCTCCTGGATGGGCCTGCGAGTACACGCCAGGTTTCAACAACTCTCACTCGAGCTAGTGGCCCTCCTGTGACGACGGAACATCGGGGGAGGGTACTTCCCGCCCAGGGGCGTCTCTCCTCGCTCGCTCGGGTGGGGTGAGGCCTCCGTACGGTACCACCTCCGCGTCGATGTCATCATCATCCTCCTACGTCGTACGTCAGGTTGTACTTCCCTCCTCTTCTCTCCTCCTCATCCGCCTCGTCGTCGGCATCCTTTTCCTTATCCGTTTCGCCATTTTCCTGGATAACAATAAAGGTGATCGCGGGCTGCGGGCCAATGACCTCAAACCACGCTGCGACACAGACGCGGGCAATGTGCGTTCTCCCAATTTGACCGCCAGCCCCGCCCCTTCAACCGTGGTCCCCCATGGGATGATAGGAGGGGTCAGAGCAAGGGAGGAGCAGCAGAGGGGAGGGCATCCTCTTTCACTTTGACCTTGAGGGTGGGCGTTGCCCATTAGGGCAATCCTGTCTGGGCTGGGCATGCGAAAGCTTCACGCAACCACACATGGTTACGCAGACCCGTGCCCCCTTGAGAACAGGCAGACGTGACTGAGAGCTGGGCCACGCTGTATAGTTTCACTGTGTTTAAATCGCTGTTATTATGTGGTGTTAGCCCTCAGGAACCCCTGATGGAAAAACATTGACAAGGACGCTGCAAAAGTCGGGTTGCCCTCCCTCTCGCGCGGGGCGCTTCCGCTAGGGGGCGCGCGTAGCAAGCGTTCAGCTCCGCCTCCACCTCGGCCACCTCCTCTCGGGAAGCTGCAGAACGACGGCGACCCGCCAACGACAGTACACGGCGATGGGTCGAAAGGGCGACGCGGGCGAACGCCGCCCTCCTTCCCCTGCGCCCCAGGGGCAAAAGTCCGTGCCGCTCCTTGGCCGCGACGGCGACGGCCTTCAACACGTCGCTCGCCTTCAACTCCTCTATCACCTCCGTCAGCCGCTCCGCCTCCACCTGCTCGGGGAAGGACGAACCCCGGAAGGGGGGGTGGGGGCAAAAGTAGCGGAACGGAAGCGTGGTGTGATCCGTGAGGGGAAACATAAGAAGCGAGCGTGCGAATGAAATGTATAATGGGAGAGAGAGAGAGAGGAAAAAACACACACACAGAGTGAGAGTGTGAGAGAGAGAGGGAGAGGGAGAGAGAAAGAGCGAATGATACATCTAGGATGTGCACATGCAGAGGAGCACGACCCCCCGCACCTCCACCCCCATCCACCCGCCTTCCCGGCAGAGATTGTGACAGAGAGTGCCCTGCAGTGTCCCGGGCGCCACAGTCCACGTGGCCTATACGACCCCGCAGGGCACCCGGAGCCATCCGACGCGCCCGAGCGCGCCGACCACGGCAGGTGGCGGCGGCCAAGATGGGGGCCTCTGGCCTCCTGTGGCCCGGGAGCACGCCCCTTCCAACTCTCTGGTGCTTCTCCAGCCCCTTCGGAGCGTCCAGTGCACTCCCGAATGGACTGCCTGGGGGCGACGGTGGCTGTACGGCCAACGAGAGGAGGGCGCGAGAGAGAGAGAGAGAGGACGAGAATCCTAGAACGAGCGGGGCCGCAGCCCGAGACACGCGGGCCTGGCACGCCGCGACCCTGGGCTCCAGGAGGCCGACCACCACGGACGCCTCCTGGGCGGCGGCGGGGTGGGCGGGCGCCGCGGGCGAGGGGGGCGGCGGCGGTGGCGCGGGAGGGGCAGGGAGGACAGTCGAAACGCTGTCCAAAGGCCCCCAAGCGGCTCCCGAGAGGCCCCCAAGGGGCCCCGAGAGGCCCCCCGAGGCACCCACGAGCGCTCCAAGAGGGGCCCTTCCTCTGTGTGCTGCGTGTGCTGCCCACTTCCTTGATCGAGACAACTCCTCTGGGCATCGTCTCTGGATGGGCTGGTGAGGTGACGCGAAGCGTCAAGAATAAGGCACGAGGCCTCTTTGCTTCTTTGCTTCCATGCATTAGAACTTCGATGTCCCACAGAAGCCCTGGGGAACACCTGGATAACCAAAACTGCACAACAATTGAGGAAAGCTGAGCCCCTCCCCGACGAAAAGGGCTCCTTCTTCGGCGGCACGACGGTAGCGAGGGAGGGCAGCGTCCTTCCGAGAGAGCGCTCCACACCAGAAGCCAAAGCTCATGCATCTGCTTGCTCCAGCGCGTGGCCGTTGATGCACTCGGCACGCAGCCACGCCCACTGGCGTGTCAGTGTGGTCTGCCCAGACGGCACGCTCGCAACAAAAAAAGGCGGGGCGAGCCCCAGGAGGCCCGAGCATCACTGGCGCCTCCTGGCGAGCGGGGCGGGCGCCGACGGGGAGGGGCGACGGCGGCGGCGCTTGAGGGAGGGGGGGGGGGAGGGCGAGCCCCAGGAGGCCCGAGCATCACTGACGCCCCCTGGCGGGCGGGGCGGGCGCCGAGGGGGGAGGGATGACGGGTTGTGGCGCGGGAGGGGGGCAGCGAGCCCGACCCTCATCATCCGACAGAGCTGAGCATCGACTGGCCAGGGCGGGGCGGAACAGTTTCCCCTTTGCTCCCGCGGGGGGGAGGGGCGGGGGGCAGAGCCAGGCCAGACCGCAGCTCAACTCCCTGGCGGGGGGGAATCGGCAACGGCGGGTCGGCGCTGCTACCTTCTTCTCCCCGGCAGGGGGGGGGATACAGTCAGGCTGCTACCACAACGAGAGCGACACGGAGGGAACGAGGTACCTCTCCGGCCCCAACGGCGCCTGGGCGAACGAGGAGCGCGCAACAAAAAACAAGCACGGAACAGACGTCTCCACGGTCGGGGATCTCTGGATATCGCGCGACGCTCCGCCAGCTCTGGCCCAGCAGGCTACGGCGCGACGAGCCTCGCGGCCCCGCAGCGCCACCGCCCCGCGGAGCGCCGCGACGCGCCAATCGGCTCGCAGGGCACGGCGTGACGCCAGGGGCCGCCGCGGCGGCACGCCGTGCAACAGAACAAATCCCCGACAGTAAGGAGGGGCAGCGAGCGCCCCCGCCTCGGTTCGGCATCTTCCGTGTGAGGTGTGGGGGCGTCCTAGCCTCGCAAAGCCGCGCTCCGCCACGGGCAGAAGCGCACGGGCCATCTTCGCAACCCCGCGCCCCCCGCTTTATTCCGAAGACGTTCATGCTCGTCCTCATCCGTTTGCCCCGGGCCCTTCTTCTTGACTTCCTCCTCCTCCGCATTATCCTCTTCCTCCTCCTCCTCCCTTCCGTTTTCTCCCCATCTTCCCCTCCTCTTCCTCTTCCTCATCTCCCTTCCTTCCCAATGTCGTGCTCCTCTACTTCGTACTATTCTTCATCCGCCCCCTTCCCACGTATTATTATCTCCCCCACCTACTCCTTTTCAGCAGTATGCCCCTGTTCCTCCCTTGTTTTGAAATTATTCCTCCTTCCGCCTCCTCCTCCTCTTCGTCCTCCTCCTCCTCACCATCATCATCATCATCATCATCATCATCATCATCATCATCATCATCATCATCAGCATCAGCATCAGCATCAGCATCAGCATCAGCATCATCATCATCATCATCATCATCATCAGCATCATCATCATCATCATCATCATCATCATCATCATCATAGTCATCATCGTGGTCACCGTCACCATCACAATCACCACCATCAACACCATCATGGGCACCACCATCCGCATTACCATCACCACCACCACCATCACCATCACCACCACCATCATCACCACCATCACCATCATCGCAGTCACCCTCACCACCACCACCGTTGCACCACCATCACAACCATAGTGATGACCGCCACCATTATCATTGGCATCATCATTGTCATCGACACCATCGCCTTCTCCAAGCCCAAGGCTATCATCATCGCGCTTCCCGTCATCATCGTCAGCATCACCATCACCATCATCATCGTCAGCATCACCATCACCATCGTCATCACCATAGGCGCCCCCATCACCTCCACCATCATCATTCTCACCGTCAACACCAACCATCCTCATCCCCGTCGTCAGGCTCACCATTGCCATCCGTGCACTCACCACCATCACCTTCATCACCACCATCACCATCATCATCGTCAGCATCGTCATCGTCAGCAGCACCACCATCACCATCGTATTCATATTCTTCGTCTGCTTCTTTATCGTAATCTGGCAACTGACGCCTGTCGTCTTCCTCGTCCTCTTCCCTCCTCCTTCCTCCTCCTGTTTTCCCAGGGAGGCCGCGGGAGCAAACGCTCGAAGCAACGCCTTCTCCTCCTCTTCCTCCCGAAAAGCACCGAATTGATGGCGATAGGATCCGTCGGATGCAGCAGTCTGGGGGTGCGATCAAGCCAAGAGAGCCAAGCGACTCCTCGAGCACCCGCTCCAGAAAACGACGGCGGGCAAGAGATGATTCTCCAAGGCAGGAGGCAATAACCGCGGCAGTTGTTTCACGCCACCCAAAAAAAGGTGGTCCGCGCGCGCGCTCGGGCGGTCTGGGAAACGGACATCGCGAACTAAACGGCGGGAGGAGGGCAAACGTGGCAGACAAACGAGGGCGGAGAAAAAGAGAGACAGAAAGAGAGAGAGAGAGAGAGAACGCAAAACAAAGAAAAACAAAGAGAGGGAGACAGCGAGAGAGAGAGAGAGGAGAGAGAGAGGAGGGAGAGAAATGGTGTAGAGCGGGGTGTAACGCACGCGAATTAGTGCTCTTCCAATTTGCACACAATGGCTGCCTATCTGCACGGGAACAGTGCTGCTGGCATGAATGGCCCGGTACTGGAGTGAGCGACCGGCCTCTTGCTAGCAGCCCGTTCGGCTTTGCAGGGAGAGAAATCATTAAGCGAAGAAAAAAGAGAGCAAGAAAGAGAGAGAGACAGAGATAACAACAAGCAGCATAGGAGGGGAAAGAGGATAGAGAGGGAGAGAGGAGAAAGAGAGAGAGAGAGAGAGAAACATGTATAGAGAGAGGGAGAGAGAGAGAGAGAGGTAGAGACAGACACACAAAAACATATGAACGGGAGAGAGAGGAGAGAGAGGACGGAGAGAGAAGGGATGGAAAAAGGATATGGAGGAGGAATAGAAGGTGGAGGAGCGAGATGAGAAGAGAGAGAGAGAGAGAGAGAGAGAGAAAGAGAGATGAAAGAGAGAGAGAGAGAGAACTAACAAAAGGGAGAGGAGACAGGAGGAGAGGGATAGAGAGAGGCGAGTGAGAGAGGATGAGGAGAGAGAGAGAGAGAGAGAGAGAGAGAAATAGAGAGCAGAGGGAGGACGGAGAGAGAGGAGAGAAGGAGAGAGAGGAGAGAGAGAGAGAGAGAGAGAGAGAAAGATGAAGAGAGAGAGACAGAGAAAACGACAAAAAAGAAAGAGAGCGAGAGAGAGAGAGAGATCGGACACGCTAGTGGGAGTCCCGTCGACAGCCGGCCACTGCGGTAGCCGAGGCCACCATCGCACTCTTGGCGGTGGTGCGCACCTTCGAGTACAGGGAGCGTTGAAACAACCACGCCCCAGCGCACAGCCACTGAAGCACGCGCCGGGGTGCTGAGCAGGCGATGCGCCAAGCCCCTCAGCGCCCCGCGGGGGAAAAGGGGCCCTGGTCGGCGAAGCCCCAGTTGGCGGCCAGGGGACATGGGCTTGACCGCTGATATGTTTGCAAATGACGGGGCGCCCCCCGCTGCCGCAGCAAGGCCCCGATGACGCGTGGCCGCGCGGGCAATCGGCTGGCAAGAACTAGGAGCTTTCGGCCGTGGTGATCCATATGCGGGCGTAAGGTAAAATCTAACTGTGGACGATGCAATGCGCGTGGCAGCGCCCTGGTGAGCCAATGCGGGTGCGCGAAGGTGCGCCAGTGAGCGGCGCCCCCCCTGTGCAGTTGCGGCTGCTGCAGGGCGGCCTCAACAGCAAATAGTGCGACAGGCGTCAGCACCGCTACAGCTGCGGGCGCGGCTCACGCAGGGAGGGGGCAGCGCCCTGGTGAGGCAAGGAAGCGACGCGCCTAATGCCGCGAGGCCTTCCGACATGTGGATCATCAGAGAGCTCCCAAGTTAATGTGGTAGCCCTGTCGTGTTTCAGCGGCGTCCGACCAGGTTGAGACCCGTAGAAGGAAGTGAGGGTCGGTGCGGAGACGCTTGCAAAAAGGCATGCTTAACCAGGGCTGTCAACTCGCCGTGCGGGGATCCGACAGCCTCGTCCAGGCAGACGGCAAGGGCGCGCGAGATGCGAACGATACTCAGGCGGGAGCTGCGAGTGGGGAACCGCAGACCGTGCGATCGCAGCCCAATGCTTCGGTGGGCTGTCATATGCAAAACGGCCTGGCTAAGGGCGACCCCCCTGGCATGCGGAGGCGCAGGTCATGCCGGCGGGCGCGGCGCGACAGGGAACGAACTTAAATGCGCGGCCAGCGCACCGGAGAGGCAGGCGAGAATGCCGGACGAGGTTCGGCAGGGCCGTCGCTGGCCACCGGAGGCCTCGGCGGGGCCGATGTCCTGGCGACGGCGGGGGCGGCGGCGCTTGGGGGTCAGCCCGGCGGCGGCGGGGTCGGCCGAGACCGTCTGGGAGCCGCGCGTCCGCCTGTCGTCGTCGTCGAACTCCTCTGGCTCCAGCCTCCCCCTCCTCCTCTGCCGCCGGCTGGGATCGGAAGACGGCCCAGGGGGTATAGGGAGGATGTGAGAGGAGGGCACTGGGGCGCAGTACCTGCACAGCGCTCAGCGGCGCCGCTCATGGCCTGGGTCAGCCGGAGGTACGCGGAGTAATTGGCGCGCGCGTGGACGACGCGATGCGCGGTTGCGCGAAGGCCGTCGATGGCACTGACGGCGATGGCGCCGAGAGGGGTGGCGACTTTGAGCCAGATGATGCGATCGTGAATTGCAACAAAGGGCAGCACCCAAAGAACACTTCCGTGCCGCACGCGCTCTGTTCAACTCGACTCGCGATTGGCGTTCGGAGGCGTGGTCGCCTGTGGCCCCGCCAGCTGGGCGCGCGCCTGCGACCGGCGCGCCAGCGGCGCGGCCACAGGGCGCATGGTTGGCCTGGCGGTCGCGGCGGCGCCGCGTGCGCAGACGGCGGGGGGGAAGGAGTCATCGACGGGGGGCCCCTGGGCGGGGGCCTCCGGGGGGGTGCGCGCGCCGAGGGGCGGAGCCTCGGGGCTCGGCGCTGGGGCGTCGACGACCGGGCTTTGGACGGTGCGCCAGCTGGCAAGCGTGACGAGCCAGCCTTGGTCGGCGTCGCTGGAGCGGCTTCGGCCGACGCAGTGCAGACCGTTGATGGGGTTTTGCTCCATGGTCCCGTTGACAGTGACCCCCGTGCCGACTTGAATGCCGAGGACTGGGTTGGTAGGGGTCGAGAGGACAGAGTCGCCCCACAGCCCCGTCGGGCGGTGCGTGGCGTGTCTTGGTGCGCGAGCCCCGCGCCCGAAGCGGGAAATGGGGCCCGGGTGGCCAAGCCGCGATTGTCGGCGCGGGCGCGGGAGACGACGGCGGGGTCGAGGCCCAGGTAGCGCGCGCAGGGAGGACGTGGATAGTGGTCGGCGGGGCATCACGGCGCTCACTGACCCCGGTCCCTGTCCTGGGGGCGCACGGCGGGTGGGCAGCGTGAGGGCCGCGGCCCGTGGGCGCACGCCCAAAGGGCGCGCGTTGCTCGCCCTGGAGTGCGTTCGCAGGGCCTGCGGCGGCGGGCGAGGTCGCTCCATGGAAGAAGCCCGTCACGAACTGCATGGAGGCCGCATGCACGATCGGTCCCCGGGTTGGGGAGGGCGAGGCCCGCCATGCCCACGGTGCCGAAGAAGGCGCTCCCGAGGAACAAAGGGGGGGTGCTGCCCACGAGCACGAGGGCCCGGCTGGCCACCCGAGTGGCGCGGCGGCGTAAGGGGGGACCCTGGAGCCCGACGAAAGGCGAGGCCCGGGCCCCAGAATACCCCGCGGAGGGCGAGGCCGTGCCGACAGAGCAGAGCAGGCGGCCGAGGATCACGGGACTCGCGGCGAAGCATGCGGAGAGCTTGCCGATGCCATCGTGGATGCCGAAGGCGGCCCTGTGGAAGAGCGGCGGGCCGCGGGAGATCAAGTGCAAAGGGTTGCTGCCGTTGACCTTCGGGGTTCGGCTGGCCGCTGCGGTGGCGAGGCGGCCTCCTGGATGCACGAGGGCGCGCTGCTCGTGCAGCTCACCCCGAAGAGGTTACACGTCGTCTCGGAGGCCTCGGAGGGCGCCCCCAGGCGTGGGACGGTAAGAGTTTGCTGCTCGGGACGCGGCTGCCGCGGAGGTGGCCGTACTGCACGAGAGCTATAGCCTCCACCCTCCAGGAGTCCTGCCCGTCTCGCAGCTGGGGCAGTGGGCCGCGACGAGGCAACCGCGCGCGGAGCGAACACCAAGGGCGGCGGCGCAGGCCCATGGCGGCGGAGGGCAGCGCGGAGGGAAGGTGCCGCGCCTTGGCCCTCGGGTGCAGCACCTCCGCGAGCCAGGCCGCGGGGCGCGAGGCGCGGACGCGCACCACGGCCGCCCCGCGGCCCTCGCGCCCCCCCCCCCCCCCCCGCGAAAGGCCCCGCCCCCCGCCGGGCCGGGAGCGGCTCGACCCCGCTCGCCTCCCTCCCCCGCCCCCCGTGGGAGGGCGCCCTCCTCTGCAGGCTGAGGCGACCTCTCTCGCATGGCAGGTCCCCTCCCCGCTCTTCCCCCCTTCGCCGCCCTTCCGAGCAGTGCTGGGCCGGATGAGGCGCGCAAGGGAGTCCAGGCCTGCGCGCAGTCCAGATTCCCTGTCGGGCAGCGCCACGCCCCCCCCCCCCTCCATGCAAGTAAGCTTGCCAGAATCTGAACCAAAAAATGCCCTCCTGGTCAAGTCACGATTCGGGCTGGCGCCGACTGGGAATTAGCGCTGCTCAAAAATTTACAGGCGGCGCCGGCGCGATTCTTGACGTGAACGGCGCACTCAGCCCCGCCTGCTATCGCCAGAATAATCGGTTGGTCGGTTGGTCGGCCAAGGAGCTCGGTGCATAGACGCTGGAGCGTCTGTGCACCGAATTCCTTCTCCAACCTCCTTTAAAAACGAAACCGCATGAACGTAATTTCGCTGAGGTCCGTGCGGACTTCTTGGATCGGCACTGGACCTGGAGCGCGCCATAGGCGACGCAGGAGGCGCCGCCACGGAGACCAACGCACATTCAAGAAATCCGCGCGAACCTCGGAGAAAGCATGTTTGTTCCCGCTGTTTGTTGTTCGATCCTTGGCTCCTTGGCTAGAGGCCTCCCAAATTTGGCACAAGAAGATAGGGGCGAAGGATCACAACGCATCGCCGATGCAGCGGCGCCGCCGGCGTGGAGACCATCGTACTCCACATCGAGCCGCATCGCTGATGCATCGGCGTTGCGGTCCGATCCTCCGACCCGCTCGACTTCACCCCCATCGGAGGAAACCCAACCTGTGACGACGATACCGCTACTCCCTGGACCTCTCCGGGGGCGCGTTCGGACCAGGATTTTGAAACGAATCCAGCGGTCGCGACGAGGGCCTCCCGGGAGGCCGAGCCAGGGGCAACCGGGCGAAGGGTAGGGGCATGGGTCACTTCTCTTCCTCTGAACTTCGCCCCCATCTGGGATTAAGTCGGGCGTGTCCCCCTGCAGGGGGATTTTCGACGGAAGATGAAAATACTCAAACAATACTCCAAAATGGCCAAACATACACAACAAATAATCCCCTGACTATTTTTGACTATTTTCGAATACTCCTCCTGGGAGGCCTGGGCTGGCGAACCAAACTAGGGAAACGAAGTCTATACACCGACACGTTCTCCGGGCCTGCACTGAAATTTGCACCAGAAGACGAATCCTGGTGTTCATGGGGGATCCTGGTATATACACATAGTTCGGCGCTTCCCCGGCAAACGGACAAAGCAGCATACACCACACCACCCTGACGTCGTCCCCGACCCTCACAAAGTCCTGGGATGGAAAAGAAGGCCGCCACTGGGAATGTATCATATGTTCTTGTCTGCGACAGACGACGCGGTGTATTCGTCGAGCGCCCCCCCCCCAGCGTGGGCCGCGCGCGCGGCGCGCCCGCGCGCGGCCGCGCGCCCTCGAGAAGGCGCCGCCCGCGGGGGGGCCGCGACGTCTCCTCGAGGCTGCGCTGCCACTCGAAGTGCAGGTCCTCTGAGCGGGCCGCGTCGCTCGCGGGGCAGGGGGGGGGGAGGGAAGGGAGGAGGAGGAGGAGGAGGAGGAGGAGAGGAGGAGGAGACGAGGAGGAGGAGGGAGGAGGAGGAGGGAGGAGGAGAGGAGGAGGAGGAGAAAAAGAGGAGGAGGAGGAAGAGGAGGAGGAGGAGGAGGGAGGATGATGATGATGATGAGGAGGAGGAGGAGGAGGAAGAGGAGGAGGAGGAGGAGGAGGGAAGAGGAGGGGCCTCAGGATGGCTTATGCAGGAGCGTGGGCGGCCCCCGGCGCCGGCCCCGGCGGCGGGCGCGGCGCGTGGACCGGCGGGACGCCCGAGGGCGATGCACGGCAGCAGGACGAGGGGCCGGTCCCAAAATCGAGCGGTGGCACATCGTGTGGTGACCTCATAGAGGAAAAAGAGCTATGCATACGCCCTCCTACCTTGGCCAGGAAGGCATATGCACCGATCCTGGGTCAAAGATGGGCCTTGCCAGGATCGGTGCATGTGCATAACTCTCTTCGCCCGAACCTCAAAACCCTTCAAGACCTCACCGCACGGTCCGTCGCCGCACGGTTTTGGGACCCCGGGGGCCCGAATCTCCCGAGACGTCCTCGGAGAACGGCCCGAGTCCCAAAACCGTGGGGTGAGCCCCTCGTCCCCACGGGCCCGCCACACGGTGTGGTCGCCGTGCCGTCAAGAGGGTCCCCCAGGCGGCGGGGGGGGGGCAATAGCAGGAGCTCAGGAGGCAACTCCCGGGAGGTTTCCTCAAGAACGATGAAAGGCCAGTCAGCCTTGTTGAAGGGCCTTCGAGCCGACAAGCTGGATTAACCCGGCTCAAACCCGGGAGAAAAACCATATTCAGCCCAAATAGACGGGACCATCCGGAATTAGCCGGGGCGGTGCCAGACTATAGGGGGGCGGTGCCAGACTATAGGCTCCTTTCCGACAGCGGGTATCCCAGCGCCGACGCTGGATCTCACCCCGCAGGAAGCATCCAGAAAGGCCGGGGTGAGAGGGGGGGGGCCCACAGCAGGAGCAGGGAGACGCGTCAGAAGATGAAGAGATACCGATACCGCTGGCAACTTCTCGTGTGGGCCTACTCGGGCCTCCTCGGAGGGCACGTCGCAGGCCACGGCCGGACTCTCTCCTCGACGCCCTGGCCCGGGCGCGTCCCGGGCGAGGCGCGGTGATCCGAGGTAACGGTGGCTTCTTGCCCACCCCAAAGGCGAGGACCCTGGTCGCGGGGGGGGGGGTACCTCCCGCTCCGTGCATCCCCTCTGTCCCCAGCTCGGACAAATCAGCCCCAAATACTCCTCTCCCGCGTGGGGTCATGAAGGTCCGCTGAACAACCGCGGGTGTCGTGAAGACCACCGATGCGCCTTGGACTGGTCACTCAATGCAGCAAGCCAGCACCACCAAATGAAAGGCCGATTACATAGCAGTCAACGTTGGTCAGCGATCTACTCGTGCCTAGGTTTTGGCAAGCAAATAGCCCTCATGTAGGCCTGTCCTTGCGAGGCAGCATCGTTACACTTCGTAGCGATCGCCTGGAACTCCAAAAACTCGCCGGCTGATGAATCATACTGTGCATAAGACTCGGTCAACGGGCACCCAAATGACCGCAACCAAACGTAACACATCCGCAACGTTGTCAGGTGGGAACCGTCACGGGAACGCTGGCGCCCAAGCGTTTCCTCGCGATACCATGGGGCATGATGTTTTCCCCTGCGGTCGGCGCACTCGCATCTCCTCGTCTACCATCGCGTGCAAGCTCCTTTGCATGTCCTTGCAAAGCTCGCACGCACGCGTGCGCACGTGCAGTCAACGGTCCTGTAATCCTCCCATCCTCCTCCTCGCCTGTGCCTCCATGCAGCAGCTGAGCCATCTGGGTAACAGCAATTCAGCTGGGCAATCGTGCGTGGCAGAAGGATCTTGTGATGGTTCTATGGGGTAACTGCTTGGCACCGTGGAAGATACTCGAGGCGTCCGTTGGATTCGATTATCTGGCCTCGTGGATGCCCGTGGGGCTCGGAGCCCCTGGGTGAAACGCTGGCTTTTGTTTCTATTGTGGGGTAGTTGGTCCCACTGCCCCCGAACATAACATTTAACGTGCGATGCTGTTTGCTTCACTTTGGTCCAACCCATACTTGACGACTGGTTGCCACTGCGACCTTGGTATGAGGATGAATGGTGGGCTGTCCCGTTTCGCTGTATGTGGGGCTTGTGCAGGTGTGGTAGGCGCTTACAGAGGTTGCGAAATGACGTGACAGATCTGAACGGCGTAATTACGCGTGGTCGTTGCCCTCTCCTTCAAAGCGCGGCCCTTCCTTAACGTCAAGGCGTCCGGGGAATTCACACACCCCGACGCTTTAACACTCAACGCTCGTCCGACGCCCCGTGACAAATGATCGGCTTCTGCTGCCGTCCCTGGACATGCGCCAGGCCTTCCAAGAAACAATATAATATCTGTGGGTGCACCTCGATTTCTCCAGGACTCCAACGACCCCAACGACCCTGCAGACCGATTGCAGAAGAGCCATAAAACCCCTCGGGATTTGCTAGATCGTGCCGCGGCGAAGTGGCTCACGCTTCCTTCGGGCAAGAGCGGGCCGCGGCCTAGCAGCTTGTGAGCAGGTGCGAGGGGGAAAACAGGAGAGCGGACGCGGTGATGGTGGTGATGGTGACGGTGATCATGGTGATGGTGAAGGTGATGGCGACGATGATGAGGATCGAGGAGGAGGAGAGGGAGGTGGAGGAGAAGGAGGAGGAGGACGAGCAGGAGGCAGAAGGAGGCACATCTTCTTCTTATTCTAACAGATACGTTTATGTGCTTCGTCTTCGCCTGTCTCTTCCCGTTATCCGCGGCGAAGGCGGACGCCAACGAGGTCGATGAAAGCCGGAGGGCCACCCCGGACAGGGGCACACAGGACAAGTGGAGAACACAGGGCGGCCGCCGAGCTGGGAGCGCGGGAAGAGGCCTCGAACTTCGAACCTCGATCTTCCCACCCTCGATCCTCGATCGATCCTCCGACCCTTGATCGATCCTCGATCCTCAGGTGTCAAGGCTGGACTGGAGGGCGCTGGCGACCAGTGCGAGCTGCCGAGGGCGAGGGGGCGGGATGGGGCGCGCTCCGGGCACGATGGACAGCCGCTCGGCCCCTCGAGGAGATCTCCGCTCCGCCCCCGCATGCCTCTCGCCGCCCCCCGGCCGCGCGTGTCCTCCAGCTTCTTCCGGCGATCCTGCTCGCGCGCCACCTCTCTCTGCACTCCGATGGCCATCTGCGGCGGGCGCCGGGGGGGGATGGGGAGGGCGGGGGCATGCTGGAGCTGCGGGCTCCGCAGAGGGGGGAGGGGGCGGGTCGGGGGCGGGGAAGGAGGAGGGGGGGGGGGAAGTGGGGGCGGCGAGAGCGAGGGCGAAAGGGCGAGCGACGGGGCGCCCAGAGATGAGAGGGGCGGCGCGAGGAGGAGGAGGGAAAAGGGGGGGGGGGAGGGGGGGCGCACGGGCGGGACGGGCGGGCGGAAAAAGGACGGCGGGGGAGGGAGGGCGAGCCTCGGGAAAGAGGGAGCTGCGGGGCAGCGAGGGGAAGGCGGCAAGAACGGGTGGGCCGAGCCGCTGACGGGACGGACAGGGGGAACCATGGCAGACGGGGAACGGGAGGGGGCCCGTGGGTTCGGGGAGAGCGCTTCCTCGAGAGCAGCGATTCGGTAAGTGAGCGGCCCCGTCCGCTGCAGTTTGTTCACTGGTGTGCAGCCCCTTCCTACCCCCCTTTTCTTCCATGTCCCCCATCTCTCTCTTTCTCCCTCTCTCTCTCTCTCTCTCATCTCTCTTCTTCTCTCGCTGACTTTCTCTCTCTCTCTCTCTTTCTCTTTCTCTTTTTCTCTCTCTCTCTCTCTCTCTCTTTCTCTCTCTCTTTCTCTCTCCAGCGCCGACCGAAAACGCCCGCGTGGACCCCCCCAAATCTCACCTGTCTCTCCCTTTTCCCGCCTGCCCCCCCCCCAATCGCCGTCCCCGCGCATGGGCCCTGGGTGCAGCTACCAAATAGCTGCGCGCCCCTCGGGGCATCGGCAACGCGCGGGGCCGCCGCCGCCGCCGCCGTAGGCAGTGGGCCAGCCGAGCTCTGCCTCGTCGGAGCCCTCAAGCGGCGCCCCGCGGCGACATGCGCGCCTGGCGACGCCGGGGGCCCCCAGGCATCGCCGCGGCGCGCCTGCGGGCGCCCGGCGGCGAGATTCGGGCCCAACGACCGCCCGAGACCGCGCGGCACAGGCGGGCCAGGGCGACCCGCAGCCAGGCGCGCACGCTGGCCAGCGTCTCCTCCGCCCGCGAGCTCCTCGTGCAGCACCGCGGCGCCGTGGCAGCAGACAGCTCCGCCGTGCCGCCCTGGGCTGCCGCGCGCGCGGCCAACTGGATCTGTGGTCAGTGCAGCACTGCCAACTGGCCGTCGTCACGCTGGCGCACGCGGTGCCATCCACCCTCGGGGGGGGGGCCGACAGCGGGGCAAGTCGCTGCCTCGCCAAGCCGCGCTCAGCTTCCGCAGGCCGCGGAGCTGCGGGCTCGAGCTGCCCCCCCCCCCAAGCGGATGGCGAGTCGAGCTGAGGCGCCGGCGCTCGGCGGCCCTCGGCCCACGCGCAGCCGACGCCGCCCGTGGCCATCCTGCCCGGCACGCCCGAGGCGGCCAGGGCACGCGCCATGGGCCCGCCCTCAGGCGCCAAGGAGCTGGCCACGCACAGCGGCAACATCAAGAACACGCTGATGGCGCTGCAGGGCCAGACCATCAGCAAGAAGGCGCTCGCTGCAAGGCCCGAACTCCTGCTGCCGCTGGAGACGGAGCACGCAGTGTACTTGCACATGCACATCCGTGCTTTCTCGGGCAGGGATCGCGTCAGCCTTCCGGACTGGTGCCTAGAGCGTGCGCAAGAGCGCTTGTCGGACACCAGGGCCGCAGAGGAGGGGGCCAAAATCGCCCTGGCCATGGCGACGGCCTCACGGGAAGTTCATCAACGGGACATGTGAAGCATGCACAATTCATTTTCTATTTCAAAGCACTGGCGTCCCAGGAGGAGCAGGCGGCGGAGGCAGCAGCAGCAGCAGCAACGGCAGCAGCGGTCGCCCACTCGGCCGCAGTGCCTGAGACGCCACATGGAACGCATGTCGCAGCTGATGGCATGGAGGTGAATCAGATCGCGTTGAGCCAGCCGCCACCTTCTACCCCTACGGCGTTTCCCATATCCTCAAACCTGGCAAGCCTGTTGCGCTGCGAAGGACCACTGCAGAACTTCAGCCTGGTCAAGCACAGCTTCATTCTAAAACGGGCATGATCAGCCAAGCCTTGGCTTCCATACAGGTATCCGTGTCAACGCTGACCGCTGCAACGCCAGCAGCGGCCTGACCTCGCTCTCCAGCAGCAGTGGCAGCACCGCCAGCACGGGCCCCTCTGGCTCCACAGGCTCACCTGGACCAGCTGTCTCGACAGCCGAGCATGCCCGCAGCTTGCACCAGGCCACGGATGCTCGCGCGAGGTCTGCGAGAGGGGACAGCCTACCAGAGGTTACGCGCGACGAGCTAGCCCAATTTCGCGCAGCATCGTCTTCCTCGCGAAAGCCGCCAGACAGGGCTGCATGGCAAGCAGCAACTGGCAACATGTCAGGACAAGTACGATTGTCTACGGCTTTCCAGAAGTCCAGGGGCACTCCCAGGTCTGCCTCGGAGCGGGTGCACTCCGAGGAACCGCCGCACAAGTCCCAGATGCTGGACGACGCCGAGGCCACCGAACCCGATGAGCCGTCGGCGGTGGGGGGTCACTGGCCAGCTGTTGCAATGGAGTCGCTGGATCACGGGACTCCAGGGCGGGCAATGTTCAATGCCCGCATCAGCTGGCTGAGTCTCAATCCCCAGGAACGCCCCGCTTGGATGACATTGCCCCGCAACGAGGTTGCATGTCCCGTCCCAGGTGGTTTCTCGTTCACGGATAAGCTTTTTCGTTCCTGGGACGCTGATCTCCCAAGCGATTTGATCGCCAGAGGGCAATAGTTGCATTCTTCCACCACTCAGGCACTGCCATCGTTGGTCCCTGCTCAGGAGTTTACTCTATGGAACCTCATGCGCTTGTGCGCTGACGGATCGGGCGGGCATTCCCATGGGTTGCGTCGAGGCCGAGGTCTTCATCCTGCTTAAGGTTTACCTAACTGGGCCTTTTTGGCTCTGAAAACGGACGTTTCGGATAATTTCGCCCTCGTCAGTTTTACGGCTCACGCGTTCGACGTATGGGGACGGGACCTGTCGAGAATTACTGTTCCTCGGGAAGCTCTACGCGGCCCAGTGGGCCTCGGCTTGGGCGGCCCAGCTGGGGGCTGCTGTCTTGGGCACTCTGGACGTGCGGGCGCGGCTTCTAGGGGACAACATGGAAGTCCTAGCTATCGCTCGGGGGGCCAGCGCCCCTGGCGCGGAGCCCAAGGAGAGAACCCGATTGCATGCCCAGTCTCGTACCTTGTCTCTGTACTGAAGGTCTCCCGGAGCGGCGCGCGCATCGGGGCACTCAGCTGAGTCGTGGAATTAGTCCGCGGACACCCTTGCCACGTTAGCCTCCATGGTTCTCGTTCAAGTCGACGATGTGCCCAGACACTGGAGGGATCCGATGCCAGCCGAAGCAGATCTTGAGTGGGCATGGCTGGATCTAGTTACTGACCCCAGTCGTCGTGCTCAGCATCCCCCTGCTCTCGGCGCCCCTTCTACCCTTCACTTGGCCATCCAAGGCCAGTCTTTTCTCTCTGGCACCTCCTGCAGCGCCTGGCAGCGGCGAGAGGGAGCCGGTTGGTCACTGCGCCCGCGCTGCTGGCGTTGCCGCAAGCGCTCTCACGCTGGATCCCAGAGCCCGCCGACAGAAGCGAACCACGGGGCTTTACCTCCCAGGTGGCGTGGCCCATCTGGGCCACGTGTTCGCTTCTTTTTCGGCAGGCGCCCTGAAGGGCCGCCCCCCTCGCAATGGCCACTCTCAGGTTGGCGACTGCGTCGTGCTGCGCGTGGGGGCCGATCAATATCAGAGATGCGCATGCTCTCCCCGGGCCCGCGCTCGCTCTACTTGCCTCGACTCGACGAGACTTGCTCTTCGAGACTGTCGTGCCCTGCACGCGCCGCCCCGTCTTTTGACTGTGGCTGTCCGCAAAGGGGCCTTCTGCCTCAGCGCCGTCGTCGGGCGCGCGCCGCGCAGCGCAGCAGGTGGAGCACACATGCAGCAACGGTGGCAGGTTTACCCGGACATGCGCAAGAGGTTCCTTGACCCAGACACCCCTGAAGCTCATTTTTTGGATGCGACCGCGAGCGCTGGGCCCGCGGCGCCCGAGGCTATCGGTCGCATTCACGCCGAGCTTGATAACTTCATTGGGGAGCTCTTCCATCGGGCTCCAAGGGATAGACGGCCATGGGCCCCTGCCACCTTCCTGCCATCCGCGGGGGCGGACTCCGAATGGCACCCGCCATCGAACACGAGATCGGAACATGATCGTCGACTCGGCTACGTCGCATGTTCGCGCGGGGTGCGCGTGCATTCTGCGTCTGCGCAGCGCAACATCGACCCCTTCCACCAACGATGTTGATCACAAGGCGGTCGGCGCCACCATGCAGTTCCCCTTGGTTGTTCCTAAACATCTGTCACGCAATTCTCACGAAATCCGTTGCAAACCGGAGGCTTTCGACGACCCCGAGGATAATATGCTGCTTTCGCAATGTATGTCGACTCACGCGCACCTTTGATTGAGTGTGCCGTGCGTCCGAAAGACCAGTGCCAGGAGGCAGTGGATTTTCTCTCCGCCCCATTCCCAGCGGTCTGCCCCGCGCAGACTACCCTGCGAGGGCGGTCGCGCAGGCTAGCTCGGCTTTCGCAGGAACCCCTCCGGCGCATGGACCAGCGTGCTTTATCCTTCAGCTATTCAAATCACTCAACGGACTTTGGAGTCGGAGTACCCTGGCCATCTGTCTGCGTGTTCGGGCGGTTCCTCCCGGCGAAGCATAGCTGCATCGCCGCGCGAGCAGGCGCGCGCGCAACGCCAGAGATCGCATTCCTGAGGGAAGGGCCTGGTCGGCTCATCGGCTTCTTGAGGCCCCGTCGCGGGCGCAGCATATATGGCCGCAGCTCCTCGACATCGACGCCCGCGCGCAGGTCCCCCGCGAGGGCTCTAATAGTACATGGGCGACCATGGGCTCCAAAATACGTTCCTCCACGGCTTCTCCTGCAAGGGCGTCTTTGATATTAGCGGGGCCCCGACGCCATCTAGGGGGCCGCGAGTGTTTGCAGCGCATGCAACGCGTGGTTAATCTCATGCATGCACATGAGCTTCCTGGCATTAAGCGCACTGCGCGGCATGGGAACATGCAGGTACGCGCAGACGCCGCGCAACGCTATGCTGATATAGCAAGCCGTTGCTCGTCTCAAACGCACAGGCGTAAGCCCGCAGCTCCCCACCCTGGACCCCCAGGGGGCCCGATGGCCAACCAGTAGCAGCGGAGGGGGATGTGGCGCGCACCTGGGCCCTGAATTTGGCGGCCGTCGAGGCTGGGGCCGCGATTCCTAAAAAACGATCTGGCTCTCCCAGGACATGACTTCAATGATACTGATTGTTCCCCTCCATTGCCGAGCTCCCCACGTCGTGCCAGGTAGGGCGGGGGCGTAATAAGAACGAGCGCGCAGACGCAGGGCCTGGCGGAATTACAGGACGCATGGCATCTCGGCCGCATCAACCCATATCCCGCCCCCCCCAAAAAAAAACACACACACACACACACACACGCACACACACACACACACACACACACACACACACACGCACACACACACACACACACGCACACACACGCACACACACACACACGCACGCACACACACACACACACACACACACACACACACACCGCCACCCACGCCTGCTCATGACCGAGGTGTTCACCAAAGCCGCGGAGACCCCGCATGGGAAGGGGGACTCGATTGGCCTCTCTTAAAGAAGGGCGACCGGGTAACAAAGACTGATGCAGGTCCATCATTGGATCTTCACAGCTAGGGAAAAGGTCCCGGGCACTTCTGCGGGCCCAGCCTTCTCCTTACCTCCGCTGGCACCCGGGTCCCAGGCAGCGTGGTGGCTGCGAAGGAGCGGGCGCAGATCGCGCATCCAATCGAGCTCCGCGCTTTCCAGCAGTTGGCCGCCAAGAGGCACTTGTCTACGTTGTTTCTACCGCTCGGCGCGATTCAGGCCGTTTATAAGAGTTTGCGCGAGCTCATTTTCCGCGCGCCCAGCTCGCAGCCTGCGGGGGCCATTCAGCGCGTCCGCGCCCTCGGGGGGCGGCCGACGGGCGCGGCTGAGGACCTCGCGCAGCTGGCGCGCAGCGAAGAGGCCTTATTTCAAAGCACGCATAGACCGCAATGTTTACACTCTACGGTAACTGACGCATACTACGCGTCGTGGTTCGTCGCCCCAGGCAGCGCGCCCATCCCCCCCCCCCCCCCCCGCGCGCGCCCCCATCGGATCGGGGCTGGGGCAGCAGCTCGGTGACTTGATTTTTAAGTTCGCCATGGGTTCCATCATGACATTGGTCCAGGGGCGCTAACTCGATCATGGCGTCGAGCTTCGGCCGCCCGCTTAGCCGGCGGGGCGCGTCGATGGCGCCAACGCTTTCGAGCGCCCAGCATGCGCCGCATATTCCATGGATTGGCATTATTTGAAGATTCGCTATTCATGTTTATGGGCCGCGCTAAGACCTTGCTCGCCGTTTCCTCCTTCCTCATAAGCATGCTCTTCGACTCCGTCGCTGAGCGAAAAGCGCCCTGCCTGCGCGGCGGGCATGGCAGGTCGGCTGCCCTGTTTCATTCTCGCGGCCCAGGCACTCATGGCGCCGAGCTGTCGCTGTGCAAACACTCGGAGGGCATTGTACATGTCGACTCGAGCATTTACGGCCAGCTCAGCTTGCACGCCGTACGTCAGCATAACATCTGGGCACGGTCGTGGACGGAGGAAGCAGCCTGCAGCTGGAACTCTCCCAGAGTCTCCCAGCGGTCTCAGAGTTGCGCGGGGTCTTGGAAGACGCTCTGCAAGGTCCCGCGGGGACTCGAACTGGATCAACGCATTGGTGCTGTCGCGGTGGGTTCTCGTATCATATCGGGGCGCCTCTGCAATTGCAGCGCGCGGCCGCCACGCTCGGTCACCCAACTGGCTGGCCTCCACGAAGATATCGAACGCGCGTTCCGCGCGGTACCCAAGCAGCCTCGCATGGGCGGCGCTGCGCTGCCGAAAGCGTATATCCTGCAGCAAACGAACAGGGCCCCAGTAGTGGCTTATATCAAGTCTCACCGATTGCGTCTGTTCGGGAGATGTGTCCTCAATGGGCCCGAGCATCTACCGGGGCCTCTCGGTCTTCGTAGGCAAGAAGCAAAAGAGCCTTGGGTGCGGCAACTGGTCGCCGATCTCCTTTGGCTTCGTGACTGCGCAAGGGCGGCCCATGATCTGGCAGACACGCGAGAAGACCAAACATATCTAAGCAGGCATGGAAGTCCCGGGTCGCGGACCCCGCGCGCAAGTGTGCATCTTGCCAGTTGCGCATCGCAGAAGCCGTCAAGGCCGAGGCCGACATCGTCGGTCTGATTTTCGATCCGGGGGCCCCAGAGCCATCCCATATCCACTTCACCCCCTTGATGCCAATGATCGCAACTACACACTTTCGCATGCTTGCATGTGGTGCCAGCAGCAATCTACCCACCTTCGTGGCATTCGTCAACACATCGTTCGTAATCGCAAGTCGCTCGCGAATACCATCAGAATGACTATCGGTGACACCGCCTGTTGTGACTACTGCGGCATGCAGTTCGCAAGTCGCAGAGCTCTGGTAGAGCACAGGGCCAAGGGTGCTCCCAAGTGCGCGATCTCCCTCTTGCGCGCGGGCAGGACGCCAGCGGAGATTCCCTAAAGCGAGCCAGAAGCAGGGTCTCTTCAGTTCCCTGAATCATACTGCGTCGACCCATGCACGCGCCAAACGAGCTGCTGGACTTGGCAGATGGCGCCCCGAGTACCCAGCAGCACCCAGCTCAAAGAGGACTCCCCAGCAGGCCCCGCACTTTGTTCGAAGATCAGGCTCTCAGTTCGTTATCTGTGAATGAGGCTAGGCCTGTCTTGGTAGAGGCCGATTATATTTTTCCGCCCGAGGCGGCTCAGAGGTTTTTAGATCTAGGGCCCCCCCACGGGAGAGCCACTGGAGGGCTCGCGCCCATGGGGGGCCGCTTATGGCCCTGTCGGCCCCAGGACTCATAAGGTATGGCCGCCGCGACCATCCCGTTCAAAATCCGTCGGTCGGAGTTTTTCATTCTATTGTTTTTCTCAAGCATGAGGCGCGCTGGATACATCCAATGGCATGTAGATTTCGCCTCACATGGCGATCCGACATTCAGCTTGTTTTGTCTGTCGATCGACATCGCGATAGACACGGCGCAAATTGTTTTGACTCGAGCCAGCGCGCTCGAGACTTGGGCGGAACACATCCGCAGTAGACGCGTGCTGAATACAGGAGGGGTGCCCCTCTGCGAGACTTGGTCCGCTGCGACATGGTACGAGGCCCCCCCTTCGCATTTCCGAACACGTTTGGGGCATCCCGCTCCGTACGGCTACGCAGAGCCTGCAAGTCTCCACGGGATGCAACCTTCCGTTTGCCATCACATATCTGCTCGCCGAGCACCTCCGTGTGGGCACAGCGGGGTGGTTTGAGCACCTGGTGCCAACAACCTGGGTCTTCTCTGCCCCCACCTCCTTCCGTTGGCCTCCTCTCGTCGCCCTCGGTTTCTCCCCTCTTGCGTCCGCCACGGACTTCGATCAGTGTGAGCACTGGTATGCAGGATCCGGCATGGCGGCCGTGGGCAGGGCGCCGACTCGCATCCTTCCCATCAGGATGCCAGAGCTCGCGGCCCCTTCTGAAGGACACTCCAGGAAGAGGAAGATGTCCTCACGAAAAATGTACACATGCTACCCTTTTCGGAAAGGACGGCGCCAAGTATCGCACCTCGGGGAAAGGGTATATCCTTCGGGCCTCTGCGAGGCCATCGTCCGTGCTGTGCTTGACTCCGTGGCCATGTTTGTGGCCACAGAGAGCGAGCCAACAGACTTCGACTTGCCACGTGACCGTCCCGAGGTGCTGGGCTCGATTGTAGACTCTTTCGTTCCGTGGAGCTCGGAGGCGGACTCTCGTTTCCTCGTTCCCTCGGACTTCGGTGCGGGGCCTCAGAAGGCTTGGAAGCGCGCCGACCCCGTGCTGCACAGGCTCCATCTGGAGCCGGGACATCCGTCTGAAAACGTTCCCCTCAGGCCTGACGCCGAGGCCGCTGATGAGCAGCAACTCATCGAGCATCAGACCTCGGCCGAGGATGAGGATGCAGAGGCCTTTTTGGCTAACGGCCACGTTGGCCCTCCCACTCCTTCCCTTTTCCTCGCCTCCGACGTTGACGTCGCCCGTCGTCCCGCCTCCCCGTCTTCCTCCCGCCCTGTCGGCGGAACAGCTCGCTCGGATCGAGGCCAATCGAGCTCGTGTCAGGGCGTTACGTGAGACTCGACGTGCTGAGTAGCACGCGCGCAGAGCGCCCTGGACAGCAGGCAGCACCTTGCACGGGTCTTTCTTCCCGCAGGCTGGGGAGCCAGCATCGGCAGCTGAGCAGCAGGACTTGGTCTTTGCAGCCGCCGCTGCTGCTGCCGCTGCTTTTTTAGGGCGGGGCCTGGGCGGTGGAGTAAGCAATATACGCTCCGCCCGTCCCAAGCCCGAGAGAACGGAACACGGAGAACCCCAAGCCCCGCGTTGAACAACAACCTGCCTCCCTCCCTCCATCCCTCCTTTCGCCTCCCGAGCCCCCGCCGCCGCCGCCGCCGCCGACGTCGTCGCCCGTCTTCACCGCTGCCGCCGCAACTCTCGCAATCGTCGTCGCCGAGGACGCCGTCGTCGCCGCCGTTCTCGCCGACGGCGGCGACAACGACGGCGGCGGCGGCGGGAACGTGGGGCGTGCCGCCGTCATCGCCGCCGCCGCCACCGCCGTCGCTCCGATCGCCTTCAGCTGCTGCCCCGCGTTCAGCGGCACGCCAGGGTAGCAGTCCACGGGGTCGGCCTGCGCAGCATTAGGCGCGCTGCGGGCCGAAAGGGGGAGGGAACTGCGAGGGGGGGGGGGGGGGGCAAGGAGGGGGGGGGAGACGGCAAGGCCGAGGGAGAGGAGAAAGACTCAGCGCTCCCCCGCGTCTCCCGCGGCCCCGACGGGCAGGCAGGTCAGAGGCAGGGGGGTGCAACGAGGAGAGGGATGGTGATGCTACTGCTGCTGATGGCGCTGGCCTTGATAATGATGACAAGGGTGATGACGCTGTTGATGATGCTGTTGATGTTGCTGCTGATAATGGTGATGATGCTGATGATAACGATGATGGTGCTTACGATGGTGTTGATAATGGTGGTAATGCTGATGATGATATGATGTTGATGATGTTGATGATGATGATGATGATAATGCTGTTGATGATGGTGATGTTGATGACGATGATGAAAAGTAGGCTGGAATTAAAAATGTTGATGATGGCGATGGTGATGATGGTGGTGATGAGGATGATGGTGCCGATGCTGACGATGGTGATGATTACGACGATGATGATGATGATGCTGCTGCTGCTGCTGATGATGATGATGATGATGATGATGGCAGTGACGACGGTGATGACAGTAACGATGATGATGATGATGATGATGATGATGATGATGATGATGATGATGATGATGGTGATGAGTATGATGATGAGCCTGATTGATACTGCTGGAACTGATGATGAAGATGATGACGATGACGATGACGATGACGATGATGATGATGATGATGATGATGATGATGATGATGATGATGATGATGATGGAGATCAAGATGAGGATGATGGTGGTGGTGATTAGGACATTGATTTTAGTAATACTGATGACGGCGGCGACGATGCTGCTGATGATGATGACGACGATGGTGATGGTGATGATGGGGGGGAAGAGCCCCCTGGGGGGTCCTAGCTCTGGCGCCTCCAAAGCCGACCCGCGTTGAGCTGGCAGCAGGTTTGCCGCTGCGGGGGGAGGCGCAGCAGCCTGAAGGGCGCCCAGACCCAAGAAGAACGGGCGCCGGCAAGAGGTGTTTTTTTCCCCGAGAGCGATGAAAACTGCTGGCTTCCCAACTGATGGGAAGAGGACTTCATCAAGCATATCCTGCTATGCATCCGCCCTCGGCTGCTTGGCCAACCAAATTTGCGTCACGAAACTCGGCCCAACAAAAAAACGGTATCTCTCCCCGCCGCGTGGCCGATAACCTGCGCATGCTCACGTTGAATACGGCGGGCGGCAGCCTCCAAATCGGGGGCCGCTGGAACGCTCAACTAAAAGCGAAACGATATTATGAGGACACTATGAAAAGAGACACTCCGCAGATTCGAAGCCCCTTTAAAACGTATCGGCCGGGCCCTGGCACGGAAGTGTGCTATAACCCCTGCGAGGTGGCCCAAACGGCCAAGCGAATACATCCAACACGACAGCAGGCCAGAATGGAGGGGACAAGGAGGAGGAGAGAGAGAGAGAGAGAGAGAAAGAGAGAGAGAAGAAAGAGAGAAGGCAGACTAAAATACTGGCCGCGACCTGTGCACAGCCGAAGGCTCCACAAGTCGGCAAACCAACTACAGTAACAGGCGAGGTACCGCCAGGAGCGCAGAACCGCAGCCGCCGAAAACACTAGAGTCAATAAGATGGTTGTAAAGGCGGGGCCCCGACTCCCCGCAGACATGCACGCCCGGAGCGAAGCCTAGCACGTTCGGGCTGGCACGCGAAAGCAACACGGAAAAACAACTCTGACCACTAAGACATGCACGAGAAAAAGGAAGAGAGAGAGAGAGAGAAGGAAAAAAAAGAAGGAGGTGAGGACACGCGAAGGAACCGCAGCGCCGCCCGACGCAAAAAGCCGCGGCGGCCTCACAGAATCACGTAGGAGTCGGCCTGGAGTGACCACTCGGCGGCGCCCAGCGTCGACCTGTCGTTGGTACTGGAACCACTCGCCGAAGTTGAAGTGGCGGCGCGACTCCGCCATGGTGGACAACATCGTGGTGAGCGCCGTTACCCACCTGGAACGGGCTGCTGTTGCCCATCAAGCTGCTCAACGTCGTAATGCTGGAGCCCGTCTTGTTGCTGAATGTCATGGTGATGGGATCCCTGGGGCTGCCAGCCTAGATGCTAGAGTCCATAGTGCTAAGTGCTGGCGTGGTGCCCGAGTGTGTCATAGAGGTCAGTGGTGGCGCTCAATTCCGTATTCAATGACCACGACGTGGTGCTTGACTCCGTCATGGCGGACGCCGTGGGACACTGTTGATTCGGGCAGCTCCCGGGTGCGGCGCTGGCGTCGGTGGTGGCGTCGGCGCTGGTGTTGGCCCTGGCGCTAGCGCTAGCGCCGGCCCTGGCGTCGGCGCGGATGTAGGCGCTTGCGTTGGAGTCAGCCGAGGCGCAGGTGATGGTGCTGGCGTCGTTGCTGGCGTCGGCGCTGGCGTAGTCGCCAGCATAACCGCCTGGAACACCGGTGAGCCGGGCAACACACCGGTACGCTGGCGTCGGTGGTGGCGCCGTCGCTGGAGTGGCATAGGCGCACGTGCTGGCGTCTGTGCTGGCGTCGGCGCGGGTGTTTTGCGAAAGTCGCGCAAGAGGTGGAAGGGGCGGCCTGACAGAAACATTAAACCCAGCCAGGAAGTTGACGAGACCTCCAACGGGACTGAAACAAACCCCTGCGTAGTAAACGTTAGTCGGAGTCGTCAGGCTCCGCAAAGTGGGTTGCAGCACCGGGAGCACGGTTGTCTTCTTCATCTCCTGCAAGAGATGCCTTCTGTCGCAAGGCATGGAGAAAGTACTGGCCACGGCTCCGACGCGAAGCGCGGCAGCGGCGCCCGAAGGTACAGCGCCGCTCCCGCTCTGAACAGAGGCCGCAGAAGAGGGTGCAGCAGCTGGGGCGCCTCCCAAAGGTACAGCGCGACGAGCTGGACAAGACAGCGTGCCGGGCTTCCGCGAAGGTCCTGCAACCTAGACACCAAGTGAGGGGCACTTGCTTGATATACCCAAGTCTCCTTCGACGTCCTCCAGCAGGGGCCCCCGTTGACGACGGCGGCCATCATCGCCAACCTAAGCTCGCCGACGGGCCGGGCCACCGACAGAAACTTCTGCCTGAGAAGGAGCAGAACTCGATCACGCATGCCCCTGCTGTCCGAACCGCGCGGAGCACCACTTCGGGGCAAAGGTCGAGGGCCGTCCAACGCTTGACAACCCTGGCTTGCCACTCTACCCTGTCGGCGGCACGGCTAACATTGGCGGTCCTGCATTGCAATTTGGATGCACCTTCAAGGAACTCGGACTGACCGTCCAGCCGCGAAATCGGCGCCTAAGCAGACAGCCGAGTCCGCGACCTCGCCTCCCAAAAGGCTGAGACCTTCCAAGACCTCGACGACGACAACCCCCGAGCAGACCACGATAGCAGAGTTGCCCAAGGCGAACGAGAAACCATAATTGTTCGATGGCTATGCCGCGATGAAACAAGGGTCCCCAGACGATAGTGGACACCACAACCGTACCCTTGCGCGTGCATGGCAAACCGTGCATGACAAACCGAGGTCGAGACGCGGAAGGGGCGGGGGCCCGTCGCATCCACCTGGACATCACACACGAACACAGATCAGAGCAGCCAGCGACCACACCATTGGAACAGAAAAACGGCCTTTCCAGCCATCCGAGGCACGGAACAACGTCCGCAACGATAAGAATGGATGCGGAGTCTGGCAATGGTTGTAAGAAAACGATGCTTGCGCAATGCCTCCCAAGCTCAAGCCGTAACATGATGAAGCATGCTTTCCTGGGATCAAGAGCCACGCGCCACGACGACTCCCGATTGCGGATGCGACTCTCGGCCTGCGTCGACTGACGCTACGCGACGTCGGCCGCCCTCCTTAAACTGGCCAGCAACCAAATGCCGTCTGGGGCGTTCCAACTCCAAGCCCAAGGCCCTGGGGCGCCAGCTCCGGCCCAGAACCCTGAAGACGGAACAGCAAAGCCCGAATTGGCCTGTAGCCACCAATAGGTTTTAAGGGCAGCGCGAGAAGGACAGAGATCTGGGGCGGGAGACAATCAGCAGCTTCCACGGTGACACAAAGGCCCCTCAAACAATCATGACAAGCTTCAGACAGCAATGAAACACGCCTGCTGTGAAAAAGCGTCGGCGGTGACCGCAGAGGCGCCCTTATAGCTGATGAGCGTGTCCTGAATTCGCTGAGCAGACAATCTGGAGAGGGGTTCGGGGATAGGGCCTGAGTGGAGGAGCCCTTCACCAACGCTCCAGAGCTCAGAGAACATGCCCCCATTCCTGCAGAAGGAGTGGCAAAGGGTCAGACGTTGCGTATACCCTGGCCGAAAAAGGGCACTGGTTAGACCCACGGAGAGGGGTCTCTCAGCAGCTGGTGAACACGGATGGCCCCTGTGTCAACGCCCACCTACAGCCAGGCAGACCAGTCGCTCTGACTCTTGGCTGCATGCTTGGCGTCGGCGGCCTGGGCGGCCCCGTAGACCTGTGCGGGAATGTCATTGAGACGCTCCAACTCGACTATGCCACCGACCGCGGCCGCCGCCACCGCGGAAAGCGGAGCGCAGCCAGCGCGGTGGTCGAAGGCAGAGCTATGAGAGGAGCATCGCCAGCTCCCTAGAATGATCCGCAGAATGCGAACACAGCGAGTCTCTGCTCGCGTTGATGTCGCCCTTGAACTGAAGGTGCAGCCACTTGATGGCCCTAGGCACTGGATGCCTGAGTTGACCGTGTTTCACAGGAACTGAGCGCCAGACCAAACGAGGGCCTACCCCCGCCCCAAAGTGCCACGGTGAGCGGTGCTTCCCCGACGAGAAGAACTAAGTCGCACTCGGCGTTGTCAGCCCACGCCTTGTAGAGGAATCCTAACAAGCGGAAAGCGCCCAAGAAGTCCCCCCCCCGATCGAGCCCCATGCGAACAGAGTCCGCCAGAGCTCGCTCGCCATCCCAGGAAAACCCTCCAGGCGCAGGACACGAGCCCTGGCGTGGGGAAAGGGGAGGGGGGCCTGTAGAAACGCCAACTTGGGATGGCCTGCGAGGGGAAAGGTGGGCGCCCATGGTCGCCTCAACATGTTTAGTGCCCTTCGCAAAGCCGCCCGAACAAACAACGAAATAATCAAAGGTGGTGGGGGGCCGCGGGGTAGTGGGCGCAGACGTTGGGCGCAGTGAGGCTGCCTCGCAGCTGCGTGACATACTGGGAGAACTCCAGCTCTCCACGTTCAAAACTGAAAGCCGCGTGTACCCAACATCCAAGGCTGGCGCAGTCCCAACAAGAAGACTCCAACCTTAGCAAGCAGCTTCCTGTCGGCGTCCGACAAGCCCTTGGCGCGCGGCCATCGGGGGGGGGCAGGAAGCTCGACGGACCATGTCGCAGCACATGAAGGAAACAAAGAGCCCTCAGCGAGGCGGGCACACCCCATCCAGCTGCTTGCAAAAGGCCACCCCCCGAGCTGCTGGCGTCGCCAGCTTAGGGTAGGGGACCACACCCATTCCACCCAGCCCGAGACATAGCCTCGGAGCTGCGCGGCCTGCGTTCCTAGCAGGCAACAGCGCGCGTGTCCACGACAACAAATATTTCTCCTTCCTTCAGAATTCCCATTGACGGTGTGAACCTTGAGAGACACAGAGTGGATGTCAGGGGGCGGCCAGAGGGGGGCGAACGTGGCATCGCGATGCGACAAGCCAGTGGTCTCGCTCGGCTGATGCACTGCGCCGGTGGGAGGGCCTGGGGGTTCCCCCCCTCGTCGGCAGCTGAACTATCTAAGCTTGAGACGCCGCGGCTCCTCCAACAGAAAGCCTGTCCTCCGCTGGGCTCCTGGCCTTGGGAGCTCTGAGGCCTGGCGGGGCCCTCAGACTCGCGTTCTGCACTGACCTCGGCGGTGGACAAATCTCCCTTTAGGAAACCCCCTCTTCGTGAAAACGACCTAGACCCAAAATCGACCTGGACCCGCAAAAATGACGGTCGCGACGCCCTCTCGCGAACCGAAAACGGCCACTGACCTCCCGAGGGGGTCGGCCAAACGGGGGGGGGCGGGGCGGGGGGGGCGGCGTGCACCGAGGGGCCTCGGGAGGGGCCCTTCGTCCAGGGGAGCCCCCGGGAGAGGGGCCCGGGACAGGCGCGGAGCGCAAAGCCGGCGCCGACGGGCGGCGCGCCGGGCGCATGGCGGCGAGACCGACGGCGCATCGATGCTGCCCGCTCTCCCCTGGCCTCGCCGAGCGCAGGCTTTGAGCAGAGACCGACCGACCCGGCAGTTCTGTAGGCCTACCACGGCATGTTCTTAGAACCCAAGAATGTTCTAAGACCGAAAACAAGGTTGTTATAACATATGCCCTATGTGGTGAAACAAGACAGTCCCAGCCAGAAGTGCCCTAAGAACATTTCGTGGAAACCACAAGAGGTTCTCAGAACACTGTTTGGTAGGCCTATAGGCACGCCAAGGCGCTTCGCCACTGCTTGAAGGCTGCGCAAGGGGGCCTGGCTGAAGCAAGGCCTCGGCACCGCCGGAAATATCCAACCCACCAGGGTGCGCCGTGCTCAAACTCGGGTTTCGTCGCAGTGTTATCTCGCTCCTGTGGGGCGCGTGCCAGGGGGCGGTTCTCGCCTGCAACGCCGTCTCAGCAGTCTCAGGGTCCGACCAGGGTAGCAGCTTCGAAGGCGTCACCGGAGAACGAGAGGTTCGGTCCGGCGAGCGCGAGGTCGTCATCTCGCCATCCGAGCTCTCATAGTAGAAATCGGGCTTCCCTTCAGCGGTTCGTCATCACAGGGTATATCATTCCTGGGGGGGCGCGTGCGAACTTGACCTGCCCCGCCGCTGGGAAAGTCCAACTCAAGAGCCTGTCATCTAACGCGATACCAAACGTCTCGCGTGAACCAACATCTCCATCACGTCGGGGCGATCAATCTGCCGATGAACAATCTCTTGCTCCTGCCCAAACGTGTCAACCCACCACCACAGCATGGACTTGTCACTGTACCAGTTGAGGAGGCCGGCTCCGTTCTTGCGTGAGAGGGAGGAATCGTCTCGTGTATAAGGTGCGGGCAGCGGGCGACGCACAGCGGTCACTCGGTGTACCGCCTCCCTATTGACAGAGAGGACTGGGTAATCAGTGCGCTGACGGTCTCGCGGAACATACTAGAGCCTGCTGGCAATATAATCTGCTGCGATCAAGAGTATGCTGCATGCTGACGACCTTGATCTCCTCCGACGGCGGACAACAGGAGAGGGTAGCACCAGCACGAGCAAGCAGCGGAGACCATCGAAGCCGCGGGAAATGCTGCTGAAGGCGAAATCCTTCGCACCGGGCGAGAAGAAGAGGGAGCCCCCTCCTGCGCCAAACCACTACCTGACGAGTAGACTGGAAGATGACAACCCGGGCCAACCGACTGATGCGAGTCGGGTGTTGCTAGAAGTGCCCCTGGCACAAGGTGCCCCCAGCTTTTCGCTGCATTTTTCAGCCCCTGGGGCCCTCTGGGCCTCGTGAGGGGTGCCCTGGAGGCCGCCTGGGCCACCACGAGAATCCTGGGGGTACCTTGGGCCAGGGGTACTTCTAGCAACACCCGAGCGAGAGAGGCAACTTGTAAACGATAGCTGCGCCCCCTCTGGAGTGCCTCTGCAGGCGTGCCCTTGAGCGGGCCCCCGAGGAGACGAGCCAAGACACCCGAGCCCGAGACACCCTGGCCCAAGACATGCTGAGGGCCCACTGCCGATGCTCACGCTCCCGGGAGGGGGGGCCTCCGCGGGCGCGCCTGCAGGATTGCCCGCTCGGATGCGAGTGGTCTGCTCGCCATCGCTCGGACGTCCATTCCTCGCGTATTTGTCGATTTCGTGCGTGTATTTTTTCGCCAAATGATCAAGGATGCTCCTCGATGGCCGTCGCCGAGAAAAAATACACACGTCCGAGCGATGCCAAGGCAAGATTGCCCGCTCGGATGCGAGTGGTCTGGGAGCCAGCGGCCTGCTGCCCTGCAAGGGCAGAAGGCGCCGCTGTCGCAGCGGCTGCTGGAGGGCCTCCAGCACGAAGAGCTCCCAGCCTCTCCTGTGCGCCTTTTCTTGGCAGCCATGCGCGCTGCCAAGGCGGCGTACTCAACCTTGATCGCGCTGACCTTGAACTTTGAATCTGAGGCAAGCGACTTGGCCATGTTGAGGAGGAGGAGGCGGAGAAGACGATTCGGATGCGCAAACGGCTCGGGTGAGGAACGCGTCCGTGCTCCGTCTGTACTCCGTCGTACTCCGGACTGATGCGAAGCGGGCAAGGCAGAGAGCAGAGGAGGACGGGTGTGAATGAGGCGCCGCGACGGCGAGGAGGGGTAGGAGGAAGAACGTGGCTCGAAGGCGGAAACAGCTCTTATGATAATGGCGCCGGACGGCAGAAATGTGAGCTCGACAAGACACGAGAACAAGAAAACCGCCACGCCAGCAGCAACAGCGGCAGGACGGGACACTTAAGCCATGGGGCAAAGAAGAGCGGAACTATGAGGATAAGGAGGAGGAGGAGGAGGAGGAGGAGGAGGGGTCGAGGAGGAAGACGTGGAGGAACGCTCGATCTTCTTGCTCATCGTCCACCTCCACGCTGCCCGTTCGCTGCTACTGTCACTATTGTCACTCCAGCTCTGTAAGGCTGCTGTGTGACCGCCGTCAGAAAGGGGGGGAGAGATGGAAAAAGAGGAGTCGGAAAAGGGGAGGGCTTGCGAGAGAAAGGAAGAGAAGGGACGCGTACGGACGAAGGAAGAGAAGTAGGAAGACGAGGAGGAGGACAATGACCTCAAGAGAGGGGTCCAGGGAGGCCAGATGATGACACGCCAGGTGAACCATTCCGAGAGGAGAAGGCAGAGGAGTAGAAAGGGATGGAGAAGGCGGGGGACGATGACGCTCACCATGGGCATGCATGCGTCAGTGGCGGCACGGAGGCTGACCTCTGGTCGTTCGTCCATCTCGAAGTGGATGACGCTCAGCGGCTTCACGCAGAGGGCGTTGAATATGCTGTCAAGGGCGGAGTCCTGTGCAAGACGCTTCGGCAGACGGCTGGGAGCCACCTCCTCACCCGCCCAACCTCCATCTTCCATCCACCCTCCACCCCTGACATCCGCCGAAATGTTTTTTGTCCACAGCCCCTAAGGTCCCGAACATTTCCCCGAGGGGAAGTTTGAGCCCCAGGGCAATGTGTGCTTTGTGGCCCCATGAAAGCCCTCGGGGGCAGAAATCTATGTTTTAAAATCCCAGACTGGAACAAACATGTAGTCGAAGTTCTGGGCCATCCGTTTTTCCTCCTGCTCCATCCTCCTCCTCCCCTTCCTTCTCCTCCCCCCTCTCCTCCTGCCCATCTTTCCACCTCCTCCTCCTCTTCCTCCTCCTCCTTCTTTCCCGCTCCTCCTCCTTCTCCTCTGCTCGTCCTCCTGCCCCCTGAAAAAAAACGTCCGCCCGCAGGGATCTCAGCCTCGGCTGCCCGAATTGTGCGAGGGAGCGAACCGTCCTGCCCAAGATAGCTCCCAAGACCAGCACGCTCCCAAGAGGCCCCCGAGAGGCCAGAAGAGGCCCCAAAGGGGCCGCCAAGAGGTGCCCCAGAGTGGCTCCCCCAGCACGCTGCCGCCTGCCCCCTCCTCCTCCTCCTCCTCCTCCTCCTCCTCCTCCGCTCCCCTCCTCCTCCCCCTCCTCCTCATCCTCCTCCTCCTTCCTCCTCCTCCTCCTCCTCTCCTCCTCCTCCTCCTCCTCCGCCCCCCTTCCTCCTCTCCTCCTCCTCCTCCTCCTCTCCTCCTCCTCCTCCTCCTCCTCCTCCTCCTCCCCTCCTCCTCCTCCTCCTCCTCCTCCTCCTCCTCCTCCTCCTCCCTCCTCCTCCTCCCTCCTCCTCCTCTCCTCCTCCTCCTCCTCCTCCTCCTCCTCCTCCTCCGCCTCCTCCTCCTCCTCCTCCTCCTCCTCCCCTCCTCCTCCTCCTCCTCCTCCTCCTCTCCTCCTCCTCCTCCTCCTCCTCCTCCTCCTCCTCCTCCTCCTCCTCCTCCTCCTCCTCCTCCTCCTCCTCCTCCTCCTCCTCCTCCTCCTCCTCCTCCTCCTCCCTCCTCCTCATCGGAGGCCTCCCAAGACTCCCAGAGAGGCCTCTAAGAAGCGTCTGAACCACGATCGACTAACTCGGGTTAACAACCAAGAGTTTGCACCAGGCCGAGACAACACCGATTATGTTCGTACCACGTGGATCAGCTTAGAACCACGGCGACTAATATGACCCAAGAGATGCAAGCCGGCAGCTCTGCGGTTGATCGGGAGTGGATGGTTTTTGATAAAGAAAACGGGGCGTGTGCCTTGACGAAAGGAGAACGAGTGGGAAGCAGTGGTGCCGCGGGTGGGGATTGCGCCCAGACGAAACGAGATTAGGTGTGTGCAGCGAGCGGGAGCCCCTGATCGGGACACGCCCAGGTCGACTTTTGCGAGGATGTCTCGAGCGAGAACCCCAGACCCAGACTCGGACACGCAGGGTGCGCTCTGGCGCGGCCTGGCGCGCGCCAGCACATCGCCAGAAATGGCCCCTCGGGGCGTTGTGGGGCCTGGCTTTCTCGCGCGCTGGGGGCCGCCGTTGGGGAGATGTTTCGAGCGAGAACCCTGGACTGGGACACGCCCGGGGCGCCCAGGCGCGCTTCTGCGGGCCTCCATGGGGAGGCTCGGGAGGCCGTTTGTCTGAGAATGTCCAACGTGAAGGATCGGCTTGGAATTCGTCGCCAGATTTCTCGGGTTTTCCGGAAAAGGAGGGAGGGGCCCTCTGAGGGCTCTATCGAGGGGAGGCTCGGGGGGCCCGTTTTTGTGAAGATCTCCCACGCGAGGGCGCCGGCTTGGAATTCGTCGCCGGATCTCTGGGAGTTCCTGGAAGCGGAACAAGGGAGCCTCTGAGGGCCTCCTTGGGTAGGCTCTGACCAAATTGCTCGGGGTGTCCCACGCGAAGGCCCCATATTGGAATTCGGTGCCAGATGTCCCAGATTTCCCGGAAACGGAACAGGGGGGGGCGGTTGGCGGGCCCGTTCTCTCGCGCGCCTGGGGTCAGGATGACGTGTGTTCTCAAGCCAAATTCCCTCAAACCACCTGGGGCCGATCTGACCAAGTGGTACTCGAATGACTCCCGCACGCGACCAGACACGTGCCTCGGATTGACTTAACAACGATCCTGGTGGTACCACTTGAGCCACATTGGAACCACGGCGACCGATATGACCTAACTAAGCGGCACTACTTGGGCAATACCGGAGATCACTGGGACCGATTTACCCCAAATAGTGCCCGAATAATTCGAGCCTGCGACCCATAAGGGCCCAAGAGGGGGAAAACGAGAGGACATTTCAAGACTCCACCCCAATCCGACCCCAATATCCTTCCAGAGGCCTCCGAGACGTCTTCAAGAAGCCCCAAGAGGCCCAGCGTGTCCTCCAAGAGTCCTCCAAGTGGTCTAAGCAGGCCTCTCAGAGGTCTCCAAGAGGCCTCCGAAAGGCACCCCTATAGACTCTTAGACCCTAGAATGCATCCAGGAGGCCCCTAGCCCACAATCCCAGTCACGGTGGCAGGTGGACCGAAAACCACTAGATACGCAATACTAATCAGCGCGCGTGTGTGTGTGTGTGTGTGCGTGTGTGTTTGTGTGTGTGTGTGTGTTTGTGTGTGTGTGTTTGTGTGTGTGTGTGTGTGTGTGTGTGTGTGTGTGTGTGTGTGTGTGTGTGTGTGTGTGTGTGTGCGTGCGTGCGTGCGTGCGTGCGTGCGTGCGTGCGTGCGTGCGTGCGTGCATGTTTGTGTGTGAACACGCATGTGCCTCAAATCCCAAATAGCGAAACACTACAGGAATGGAAGGCGGCTGGTCTGCTGAACCGAATGATCGCTTCGGCATCGCAAACATGCTTGTTCCCAAACTTTCGGCCAGCTGCAAGCAAGGATCCGGACTCTATACCAATGCATTGCACCATTGGCACAGCAGATCGCCGATCGAAAACCTAGGCGAATCTTGCGCCGCACCGTCAACGATGAAAGAGCTCTCGCCATTCCGTTCTCCTGGGGCCGCTTCCCGTAGTAGGGCTATCGGTGTCTGACCAACACAGCTCAAAGCCTTCCCAGGTGTTGATTATATCGCAAGTGCGTTGCAACATCAGCGCTCCAGCCCTCCCAGTCTGAACCAGCGGCAGGCTCTCAGGACACCCATCCCATCACAGCGGGCGCTCGTCGTAGTGCAACGGGGACGCAAGTGAGAGTCGACGTAGTGCAAGGTGCCTATCCGAATGTACCTACTGATAGGGCCTTCCTACGGGTGATAAGGAGGTTGGGGGGGAAGGCGGAGGCGGTCGATTTGCGATGGCTCTGGTTTGGTGGTTTCTTCAACTTCTTTATTGTCGCGCACATCTGCCCAACTATTTATCGACCTTTCTAGCCCGTTATCTATTTAGGACAACCATATAGCTCTATATTCTGATAAACATATACACATGTATCGATATATCAACAAATCGTCTCATCCGACTATCAAACAATGAAGTACCATACATATATCGACCCAAATGTACGTGCATCTGCATGTATACATGTATGTACACATGCCGAACCACGTGTTTATATGTATATAGAGCTAGTTCGATATACGTCTCTCTATGAATCATGTTTATACCTCTGTATATTTCTCTCTAAATATATAGATATATACAAATCTCTATGTGTATGTTTGTTTATCTCTGTCTATAGGTGTACCTTTCTATATCGACCAATCATCGGGACAACCATCGGGACAACCATCTGGACAACCATCTGGACAACCATCTGGACAACCATCGGGACAACCATCGGGACAATATCTAACAACATATATCTATCTACCCATCTATCTATCAACCGTCTGGACAACCATCGGGACAACATTCTGGACAACCATGGGGACAATCATCTGGACAACCATCGGGACAACCATCGGGACAATCATCAAGATAACCATCGGGACAACCATCGGGACAATCATCAAGATAACCATCGGGACAACCATCGGGGCAACCATCGGGGCAACCATCGGGACGACCATCTGGACAACCACAACCACCCAGACAACCGCCAGGACAATCGCCTGGACAACCGGGGGCCACGACCGGCGTGGGGGGGCGACCCTTTTGGCAATACATGGCCTCCACTAAGGATGGAACTCGCGCAGCTCCGCCTCGCCCGCACGCACGACCCGAACCGAAACCAAAACCGATTTCCAGGTTGGGGTCACTTCCTTTCCAGACCCCCGTCCTCCGACGTATGAGGACTGGGCCTGGGACAGGCGGATTAGCTTTTGCATCGGTAGTGTGCTGGGGAGGGGTGGGTGGGGGGGGGGCCGTCCTCGTTCCTTTCAACATCTGCCCTCCTTTTCTGCCCCCCCCCTCCTCCTCCTCCTCCTCCTCCTCCTCCTCCTCCTCCTCCTCCTCCTCCTCCTCCTCCTCCTCCTCCTCCCAAGCACAAGCGGCGCGCGACTGGGCGGCTCCCCTTTTGGCTCCAACCGGTCATGCAGCCACTCTCGGCGTCTCATCGCGGCGTGCTTGTGGCAACCTGGAGATTTTGCAGCATTCACTGGTGTGGGTCTTGCTTTTATCGATGGGTTGGCCAAGACCGAGAGAAATTCATGCAGGTAATTTTTCCCCAGCAGCTTCCTCATCGGTGCTGGCCACGTGTGACTTTGTGGTTTACTTCGTCCACGTCGCTTTCGTGCTGCACGGGTGCATACTGGGCCCTTTTGTATCTCAATTTTCAAGCTTTCCTGTGCATCGACTTCGTGGTCCGTCCCAGGCTGCAGGGCAATGGGGGGAGCCGCTGGCATTGACCCACCCGCCTGCGGTCTGGGCGTATTTCAGGCGAGCGGGTGCTGCTGTCACGACCGTCGTGGAGGGCATCCGCCCCAGGTTGCAGGGTCGATGGGGGGAGCCGCTGGCATTGACCCACCCGCCTGCTACCTGGGCGTATTTCAAGCGTTGTGCTGGAGTGGTGGCTCTTGGTATGCATTGGGAGCTCGTGGGACATTCCCCATCCCGCCGTGTCCACTGTCACTTTCTCTGGCCTTATAGGTGTATTGTCGACCCATTTGTTGGCACAGAGGCTTGGGCGAGATCAAGAGGTCAATTCATTTTCGTACGCGGGTACGGTCTTTTGTATTGATATTGTGGGGCTGTCTGTGGAGGACGCGATCCCCTTTGGGGGTTGCCCGATGACCAGTGTTCCTTGAACACATCATTGAATGAAGGGCCGCATCGAGCCGATTTCACCTCAGCTGAACTTGCGTCAATCTCTACGGTTTTGGCCGTGTACGTCTTCTACCATTCCCTCATCTACCTGGAGATGGTCAGTGGGTGGCTTCATTTGTCAAGACTTCGGTCATGCTCTCGTCGCCTGGTCTGGTTTGTGGGAGCGCAGGAGTGACAATTCGGGTCGCAGTTCCTTGTCGTCTTCTACGTCGGCCTGATCAGGGGGTGGCAGGGCGGTATTTTTAGACTTCGTCTCATATCAGTCTCAGTCTCAGTCTCCTCCTCACCCTCCTCCTCCTCCTCCTCCTCCTCCTCCTCCTCCTCCTCCTCCTCCGTCGTTTCTTCATCCATCTCTACGTCCTCGTTCTCCCCGTCCATCGCTGGTTACTTTCTCCTTCTCCTCCTCCTTCATATGCTAAAACTCATCCGCCGTGTCACTGTCCCACGTCCTCCCGCTATCCCTATTTCTCCTGCTCGTCACATCCCTGTCCTCCTTCCCCCTCTCATCCCCTTCCTCCGCCGTCCAACTTCTTTTCGCGAGCCCTCCTGTTCCTGCTGCTCATCCCCCTCCATCTCGAAGTCGCCTTCTTCCTCCTCCAACCCATCATCTTCTTCGTGGTCATCGTTCCCCGGTAGTCTTGCTCTCCCGCCTGTTGCGGTTCATTCCCATCACATCCTTTCGGTGCCATCCAACTCCTCCACCTGACGTTGGTGCTGTTTCTTCTCCGCGGCGGCCCCTTCCCCGTGGCCACCGTCCTCCTCCTCCACCTCCTGCTCGTGCTCCTCCTCCTTCTCCTCCTCCTTCTCCTCATCGTCTCTCACGTCCTCCTCGTCATTCATCTCCTCCTCCTACTCCTCCTCCTCCTCCTCGTCCTCCTCCTCCTCCTCCCTTTCTTTTCCACTTTTCAACAACCACCAATCGTTAATCACCAACCATAAGCCGTCAACCCTCAATCCCAATCATAGTCCGCACCACCCACGTCACCATCACCATCGCCATCACCATCGCCATCACCATTACCATTACCATCACCATCATCATCACCATCATCATCATCATCATCATCATCATCATCATCATCATCATCATCATCATCACCACCATCATATTCTGGCAATTCCTCCCCCTCCTCCTGCTACATCCCCCTCATCCCACCTCCATCCCCGTCCCCCCCCATCAGCCACCCTGCTCCTCCCTCCTCCTGCTGCTCCCCTCCGTGCTCCTCCCTCTTCTCCACCTCGTCCTGGTCTGGCCTGGTCGTGCGCACCCGAGTGGGGCGCGCCGTGCCGCCACCCTGGGCAAAGGCCGGACACGACTCCGCCCTCCTTCGGGATCCTGCAGTGGGAGCCCGTGCTGTGGCATGGGGGAAACGGGTCCCGAGGGAAGCTCGCCATCGCTCGGACGTCCATTCCTCGTGTATGCTTCGATTCCGTGCGTGTTTTTTGTTTTTTCGCCAAATCACCGAGGATGGTCCTCGATGGCCGTCGCCGAGAAACAAATGCACACGCCCGAGCGATGCCAAGGAAACGGGTTCCCGGGACGAGATATCTCCACGGGGTCCGCGGAGGGCCCCGCGCGACCGAACACGGTGCAGCACCGCAGGGCCCGCCTCCGCCGAGACTCGCTCCCGCCAGGGCGACTTGTGCACCTCCCGCCCCTGCCTCTGCACACGATGGCAGCGCCGCTGCCGTCCAGGGACCTCCCGCCCCTTGCCCGCGCTTGTTGCCTCGACCATCCCCTTCCGGGCTCACGTCGCGCGCGCCCGCCGCCACCCGGCACGGCGTCCGACAGCTGCAGGCCGTACTCCTCGCCCACGAAGAGCCCCACCCTCGGGATTGGACGGCTGCCGCTGCCGCTGGCTCGATCGCCCCTGACGAACGAACAACACGCACCCATACCAAATAGGTTGGACGGAGAGCGCTATTGGTGCTTGCTGTCGGATGGGGGTCTCCGCTCGAACGGGAGCCTCCCACAGGGTCCAACCAATACCCATACGCATAGCCAGTCCTGCTTCCTCCGACCCTCGTGTGGGTATGGGTGTGTGGGTGTGTTGTCCGTTCGTCACACGAGTCGACCAGTCGATCCTCCGATCGATCGGCCAATCAGTCAGTGGAGCGCCAGGGAGGAGCGAGAAAGCCTACTAGTATGAGAGCGAGACGGTGGGAGGCTGCGACGGGATCACCTCCGAACGCCTGCAATTCGTGAGCGGCGGACGAGATACCCGGTACCGCTACTTACTCGTCCTGGAGAGCCCTCGTCGCCAAGGCGGGATTATCTTCGACATACCAGTCAGGATTCGCCCTGGGAGAGGCCCAGGGAAGGCCATCACCGTGCCACAACCAGAGAGCTCACAACAGGAACGCAGTGGCTTCTCGGGCCATGGCGGGCCTGCGCCTGGGCCACCAGCTGGTTCCACGGCAGGTTCCCCGATGCGCCTTCTGGTGGTCCGGACCCGACAACGGGCCCCTCCAGGCCGAAACTCGATTGAAAAAAACATCGAGACTACAAAACACGTAGTCAGCGAAACTCGATTTCAAAAACATCGAAACGTCGAAGACCTAGGACCCCGAAGTCATGATCTCTGTCACGGTGTCCACCCCCAGGGGTCTCGAGCCATTCCCTCGAACCAGTTGTTCATCTCGGGCCGTTTTTTGAAAGCCCTGGGGCCCAGCGGGAGCCCCCAGAGGCTGAAAATAGCGAAACAGCTCCCGTCGAGATTTCTGCATGACCCGAAGGAGGGCGTCTGGGGATCGGGGTACCTTTTCGCCCCCTCCCCACCCCCAATCCATGCCCGCCTTTGTTGAAGGGGCCCTGGGACACACAAATAGATAGACACAAATAACAGGATGCCCCATCTTTTCCCAGATCTTCGGGGTTTTTGTATTCCCCCCACTTCCCATATTTGCCCCCCATTTTCCTGGGAATCGAAGATGCATTGTGTCTGTGTGCTTTTCCCCCTCCTGCTCTGTGAGTGGGCGAGCGCAGGGCGGGGCCCCACGCCGCCGCCCGAGGCGTGGGCTCGGCGCCGCCCTCGAGACGGGACGCGGAGCAGGGGACGAGCACATGCGGGGCGGGAGGCGCACGCCGCGGCGACCACCCCTGGCGGGCGAAGGGCGCCACCGACCGTGGCTCCCGCCGCCAGCCTTCCTCCCGCGCCGCGCGCGGCAGCCGCGAGGCGGTTGCGGCGGTCCCGCGGCGCGCGGCGGCCGCCGCGGAGCTGGCCGCCCCGGATTCGAGGCCCACCGCGGCGGCGCCGGCCCAGGCGGGGGGCCCGAGGCGTGGCGAAGCCGAGCGGCGCCGGGCCACCGCGCGGCGCCGCCGCTGCCGCCGCGGCGCCGCCAGCTCGGGCGCGGCCAGGGCCGCCAGCAGGCGCCGCGCGCGCCTCCCGCGCGCCCCCCGCGCTGGGCGGGCGGCCGCGGCGAGGGAGCCGTTCGCGGGCGGCGCCCGGCAGCCGCACGTGGCGGCGCGGGGCCCCGGGCGGGTCGCAGGCCTGGGGTGCGGCTGCCGGGCGCCGTGCTGGCCGCGGCTCGCGGGCCGGCCGTGCGGCGGCCGGGTCCCCGCGGCGGCGCGGCGCGCGGGCGGCCGCGAGGCCAAGCGGCGTGCGGCCCTGCTCCTGCATGGAGCGCTGGCGCCACTCATTGAGCCGGGGCTCGCCCGGGGCCGCCCCAGGGGCGGCGGCGCGGCCGCTGTGCTCTCTCCATGCCTGCCGTCCCCCCCCCCTCCCTCTCGCCTTCGTCGTCGTCGTCGTCGTCGTCTTTCGTCGTCGTCGTCGTCGTCGTCCGTCGCTTTCCTCACCTTGCCGCTGGGCTCCTTCGCGACGGAAAAAAGTAGGTCATCCCCCTTGCAGATCAGCGCAGCGTGGCACGACGTGTTCGATGTACGATGCGCACCGAAGCTCCTTGGGGTGTTTGATGACGGCGCGCGCGGCGCCTTCGGCAGCCCCGTAGGTGTCGCCCGCACTGCTGACCCCACACGGGGCCAGCATGAACCTTGTTCGAGCCAAAACGCTGCAGCGATTCGGCGAAGCGCGCACGGACCTCGTGTTGGCAGCGACCCTGGTATCCTCCTCCTTGTACCCTGGCGAGGACAATCATCGGCCTTACCAGGGCGCTCCACCGTGAGGCCTCGCACCCTCCGCAGCTTCAATCATATGAGGCTGCGGGGGCCCACTTCCCACAAACCTGGCACAGTACGTGCACGACTGGGACTACCAGCGCGAGTGCGAGGGGTTGCGGGAATCGTGCTGCCTCGCGGAAGGATTCCCAAGGGGGAAGAGGCGAGGTGTTCCACGGGGGTGTGACGCCGCGAGGTGGCGGAGGCTGCGGCGGGACTCCTCGCTGGATGCCTCTCCCCCAGGGGACGTTCAGCTGCTCTATTGTTGCTCGGGCATCAGCTCGCGGGCACCAGTCGCTCCTGATTCCTGGTGACCTTCTTGCTGCTCTGGGCGGTGGCAATGGTGCTGCTGGAATTAGGTGGGGAGTCTGGGGAACTCAAGAGATCCCAGAACGTATCATTCTGATCATATCTTGCTCCTCTGAGATAAGACACAATCGCAGCCTGGCGCCGCCAGAGAGGGGGAGCCAGATGCTCCAGGGACGCGAAGTGGTCGGGTGCCACGCGCGTCTACGCGAAGAGCCTGCTCCCCCTTCCCTCCCTCCTGAGGGGCCGCCCGCGCATGGGCGAGCCCGCGCACGCCTGCGCGAGCGGACCCAAGCGCGCCTCGGGGGCACAGAGAGCGGCTTTACGGAAGGAGCTGGCGCGGGAGCTATCTCGAGGGGGCGGTGTGCCTGGAGGGGGAGGAAAGCACTGGATGGTGGCAGTTCGCGCCTGCAAGTATTGGGGTCTGAACTGTGGAGGTCAGTTGGCACCCCTCCCTACGGCCGGCTTCGCCGTAGGGAGGGCCTTGGCCCACTCCGGTGCCGACTGATGGGAGTGCGACCCCTGCTGCCCCTATGATGCTAGCTGCCAAAAGGTGGCGCCCATGATGGTCACCACGGGGGGACAGATGCCTATGATGATGGCCGGTGTCCGCAATCTTCTGGCCGTCCGTGGCAGGACGGGAATGAGAGAAGGGTGGTAAAGATCAATAGAGAGAGCGTGATCCACCGCCGCTTTACTGTGGAAAATTGCCAACCTTTTCCTCCGGAACCCGGGGGTCTCCCCCCCCCCCCCTCCGAAAATCCCCCCCCCCCCCTGCTGGAACCCCCCCCCCCCCCCACCCCCCCCCTCTCCCTCGGCAACCCCCCCCCCTCCCCTAACCCCCCCCCCCCCCCCCCCCCCCCCCCCTTCGAAAACCGGGGGGGTCACTACCGGTTCGAACCCCTCCCCCCCCCCCCCCCCCCCCCCCCCTTCCGGATCCGGAAAACCGGGGGGGTCACTACCGGTTCGAACCCCCCCCCCCCCCCCCCCCCCCCCCCCCCCCTACTCACCGCCAGCAAACGACTCCCGGTCCCCACCACCGTCCGCATCACATCCCCCACTGGTGTTCCCAGCACCACTGTCCTCACCACCACTGTCCCCACTGGTTCCACCACCGTCCCCCTATTGTCCCCACCAGTGCCCCCACCACTGTCGCACTGTCCCCACTGTTCCCACAACTGTTCCCACCACGGTTCCACTCTCCCCACTGTCTCCACGGACCCAACCACTGCCTATCCCCACTGTCCCCACTGTCCCACTGACTCCTCCGCTGTCCCACTGAGCTGTCCCACTGTTCCCACCACTGTCCCCACTGTCCCCACCACTGTCCCCACTGCACCTCTGTCCCATTGTCCCACCGCCGTCCTCGCCACCGCCTTTACCAGTGTCCCCACCACCATTGTACCCTCCACTGTCCCAGTGTTTCCACCTCATTCCCACTGTCCCCACACCACTGTCCCCACCACCACCGTTCCCACCACTGTCCACTGTCCCCCCTGTTCCCACCATTGTCCCCACCACTGTCCCCACCACTACCGTCCCCACCACTGTCCCACTGTCCCCCCACTGTCCCCACCACTGTCCCGCTGTCCCCTCACCACTGTCCCCACCAACACCGTCCCCACCACTGTCCGCACCCCCACTCGGTTTTCTCGGGGAGGGGGGGGGGGGGTTCGAACCGGTAGTGACCCCCCCCCCTTTTCATGATGAGCTGGGGGGGGGGGGGGGAGGGGTTCGAACCGGTAGTGACCCCCCCCGGTTTTCCGGAGGGGGGGGGGAGGGGTTCGAACCGGTAGTGACCCCCCCCGGTTTTCCGCCAGCAGCGGTAGAACACGCTCTTTCAGATCAAAGGCAAGGGTAAGAAAGACGAGGGCAGGGTTGGAAGGGCGGGCCGCGACGTTCGCCCTGCCGGTCCCCCAAGCCAGGTGCGAGATCTGCGATGTCGGACGAACGCCGGCACCGACCGTGGACTCTTCGAGTGCCAACGCCCGTTGAACCACTCAGGTCTTGTCTTGGTGTCTCGGGAACGGCGCAGATGGCCCGTGTGCGGTAGCAAGGGCGGCCGCGTGAACGCAGGAGGGGCCTGGAGGGGGGGCAGCGTGTGCAATGCAGAGGGCACTTGCCGAGGACGCGGCTGCCGAGCAAATCTGGCCTCCCGCAGGCCGCGCTCCTGGAGCCAACTGCGCAGCGGAAGTCCCCGGCCCCTGGAGCACGGCCTCGTGAGCTGCATCTGCCGCTCTGCCCAGGCTGGATGGGCAGGCCGCTCGCACCATCCGGGTCCTGAAGGGTAAAGATCCTCTCGCTACCCTCTGCAGGCCGCTGCTGGCCGACATGCGGATTCTCCCGCGAGGCAAGGGGGCATGAGGAGGAATGATGAAAGGAGGGGGCGGAGGCGGAGGAGGAGGAGGACGGCGAGAGCAACAACGAGGCGATGTGGGACAATAACGGAGATGACGAGGACGATGATGCCAAGGAAGATGGTGGAGGGACACGAAGGAGAGAGAGGATGAGGCGGATGGTGGATGATGTTGGGATAAAGTCAGGCCGAGGATAACCACGTCGAGAGAAAGAACCAAGGAAAAGAAAGGGATGAGGATAATGATGATTTTGCCGAGGGAGATGACGGCAGATGAAACGGTGGCCGATGAAAATGGTGACAGACGAGGGTGACAATGTGAAAGCGAATGAGGGAGGGAGGTAATGATCGAGCAGCAGAAGACACCGCGCCATCTCACAGGGCATGGGGACCACAATGACGTCCTCGGCATTGGAACCACGCGTTCGACAACGGCACTCCCAAACAGTGCCCGTGTGCCGCAGATGCATCGGTGCTCCTGCCTGCCTGCCTCCCGCCCGTCCCCGGGTGCGTGCAGGAAAATACAAATGAGTCCGAGGGAGAGCGACAGGAAGGGCATGATCAAACGAACACAGTAGGGATTGTTTAGAAACAGAGGTCAACCATGCTCGATGGCATGGCAAAACATTTGTCTTGACACTCTGCCATTCCTCCTCCCTGCCATCCAACCATCTCCACCTCTTCCTCCATATCCCTTCATTCTTAGTTGGCGTCGCCTTAGGGGCGCCTCCTTGTTGTGAGCGGCTGTCGGCTAACTGAGTGGCAGGCTCTACTTTAGTGAGGAAGCCGTCCCCATTCGCGTCGTACTTCTGAAGGGTCTTCCGCTGCTCGTCGAAGTACGACTGGCAGGGAAGACAAAGATCAACTACACCTGCTGACAGATGAAACGTCCCTGGGGCAACACCTCGTGGATGGCACGTCGGGTCTGGCATCGCCCGTAGTACCATTCGGGTACAATTCGAGTAGACGCTGGCACATGCCCGTCACGACACAATGCGCCAGTCCCCCCCCCCTCACCACTGGTGGCGTTAGACTGTGAAAGTTGCTGCTGGGCTGCTGTCTTGTGTGTTCGCTTCTGTTGTCTTTCGGTTTGGGGTCTCTTGTCTTACTGGACCTGTCTCCTTTGTGCTGCCTGCCAGTGGGGCCGAGCGACCAAACCAGACCTGAGAGGGGAGGGGGGGACTTTAGGATCCTCGCTGTACGGACGCCACCATTCAACTAAAGGGGCCCAACATGTCTCGAGGACAACACTAGGAGGCACCGCAATGGACTAAAAGCGCCTCAGACGCCCAATATTGCCCCAAGATGTCTGTAAGATAACCCATAAAGGCTCCAAGACACTCCAGAGAGAGCAGGCAGCACTGAACAACCTGCGTGCTTTCAGCGTTTCTGTTGCCCGTCTCACGCTCTGGCCCTCGGATATGCCAAGGTGGCTTGAAGACGTGCCCTGGATATCCAAATATTGACCAAGACTGCCCCCCGAAAGGCCGCAGGATGCCCTTAAACTCACCCAGGACCAAGAGGGCCCCAACGTGCCTCCATGAGGCCCCGATCCGCCCCAAAGACAGCCCGAGATAACCCGGAAAAGGCCCCCCCAAAACTGCCCCGAGCGCGGCCGCAAGGTGGCGCTCGGCTGGCGGCAAAGGGCGTGGCCCCAGCGACCCGCCCACCACTGGCTCTGCGATCCGCCCGCAAAGCCCCCCCCCGCCCGCGGCACACCCGCGGGCCGCCTGGCGCCACCGAGCGCACCCCAGCGACCCACCTTCGAAGTCGTGGCCACGCGCGCGGCGGCCGCAGCGGCGGAAGCGCCCCAGCGACCCACCCACATGCGCTTGAACAAGATCGGAGCGGGTGGGCAGCTGCTGTGCACCGGCTCCGGAGACCGCCGTCGTTCGTCCCGCCCGCGCGACTCGTCCTGGGTGTCGCAACACAAAGTTATCAGCCCGCAGCACAACCACACTGCTTGGAAATGTCTACCATGGGCCCCGGCTCGCAAGTCATTGCACCATGGATGTGTAATGCGTTAGCCAGCGTGGACCCCAGAGACAGTGTTTCTAATTATATGCGCGGTGCAATCTATGTGATGAAATCTATATTATACAATCTATGTGGCACAACATGTGTGATGCAGTCGATGTGGCGCAACAGAATTATGTTCGCAATGAGTTGTCCAGTCCACTGCTCGCGCAACCATCCCACCCAACCACCCGCAACTTGGTTTGCAAAACCCATGCGCCGGCGACTACTATGAGTGCTTGCCCGCGCATGCTCGCGCGCGCAGCGGCCAGCTAGCTTGGCGCGACCGACGCGGCCGCGGTGGCGCTGACCGCTGGGCAGTTCCCAGCGGGCATCTCAGTGAGAGTCGGCGACTTGGGCGGGCGCGGCGACATGGCAAGGTCGTCAACGTAGACGCGATGATGATGGTAGCGGTAATGGTGGCGATGATGACTACGACGACGGCAAGGCCAGTGACGGCGCGATGGTGATCACGCCGACGACGATGACGGCGCCTTCGCGTCGGTGACGATGACAGCGCCCTCGCGTCGATATGCGCGCGCGGCCGACGCTCGAGAGTGACCCGCACGGTTTTCTTTGACACGGATCGTGCGCCCACCCAGCACGCGCGCAAGGGCGTTCAAATGAATCCGACATGCGGCGAGAGGGCCCGCTTGGCCGAATTCAAGAACGCACATGTTGAACAACCCATGGTTCTCTTAAGAATTCGCAGGAGCGCGAGCGCAGGCATTTTCGAAAACTGATGTTGCAAAACCATGTGCTTTCATGTTTTCAGGACGCTCGATTTTTTATCCTTACAAAACCCAAAGTGTTTGAAAGATTTCCGCATGCGCGCGCGACGACGCGCGCGTGAGCACGTCGTCCCTTTTTTTGCAAGGGAGTATTGCGACAACGCGCACGAAACGGCGGTCGAGCGATTCCGACATGCGCACGCGAGAGGCCAGTGTGGCAACAAATTATAAGACTTTTAAAAAGGGCATGTGTTTCTCCTTACGAATTCGCAAGTGCCCGAGCGCAAGTTTGCTTGATAACTCGTGCTTCGAAACCATGTGCTTATCTGTGTTCGGGACACTCGATTTCTAAACCCTTGCGAACCCTACACGGTTCTTTGAAATATGTCGGCATGCGCGCGCGACGACGCGCGCGTGTGCACTTCGTCCAGTTTGTCTTTGCAAAGGAGTCTTGAATACTTCTGGTGTTGATGAACGAGTTCGGGCGCAGAGTATTTGTTCAAAAGGTGCGGGGGGACGTGACCGATTTGGCAAAGATGATACGCATTCATATACAGGATGGGCGGTGGGGCGGAACCGCATGTACATTTCACATCCCCGGAAGACCCAATAAATACAGGTGAGGAGTATCTCCTAATACTATTGGATAAATGAATATCGAGGTTGTGCTATATAATTTGTGCAAAATATGTGATGCAATGGAACGGCGGCGACGAGCGGCGACGGCACCGACGGGGCGGCGACGGCGACAACATAGCCGCCAGACCCACGCACATGCCCAGACGATGGACGGCAACGAGGTGGCGACGGTGCGCGACAGCGACAACGTAGCCGCCAGACCCTCGGTCAGGTCCAGTTCTATTTTCCAGAAACAAGAACTCCCTAAGGGCAAGCAGTGTTCAAGAAGTGTCGTAGTAAATGCATACATGTATGTAATGTATTTATGGATGTGTATATATATATATATGTATACATATATGTGTGTGTTCGAGCTTTGCGGTCCACTCTATGTGGTGCAAGCTGTGCAGGGTGTCGAATGCGTGGTGCAAGCTACGTGGTGCAAGCTAAACAAAATAAGATGTGTGGAGCAAGATCTGTGGTGGGTGCTATGTGGTGCAAGCTGTGCAGCGTATGCTATGAAGTACAAGCTGTGTGGTGCAACTAACACAGGAAAGCAGTCAATAGCATCTCTTGGCGTTAACAATCGCACAAACATGATATAATTAATACCGGATGGGGGAGGAAGCCGCCGAACGATCTCGTTCAACACCCAAGATACTTGTTCGGCGGGGTGGGGCGCGAATGAGACGAGTAAAAACGGAATTGCGACTGGGCCCTTTATGCAAAGGAGAATCCGGGTTGGGTGATCACCGACGGACGACGACGACGCCCTACGGATGCCCCATGAAAGGGGGTCTGGGGGCATGCTTGGGCCAATCGTAGCCGACGACGACGACGACGGCGGCGTAGACGACGACGACGCGCAGTCGATGCCCCAAAGGGGGTGGGGGGGGCGGGGCGAGGAGGGGTGCTGCGTGGGCCCGCCGTAATCGACGACGACGGCCACGACGACGACGACAACAACACGCTGCTGCTGCCCGTGGGCCGCGTGGGCCCGCCGCAGTCGACGACGACGATTACGACGACGACGACAACGACGACGACGACGATTCGCTCTGGATGCCCCTGAAGTGTGTGTGTGTGTGTGCGTGCGTGTGTGTGTGTGTTTGTGTGTGTGTGTGTTTGCGTGTGCTGCGTGGGCCCACCGTAGTCGAAGACGACGACGAGGACGAAGAGGTTGACGGCGCTACGACGACGACCACGACGCGCTGCGGATGCCCAGTGTGTGTGTGTGTGTGTGTTGCATTGCGGCCGAATTCGCGTTCGTATGCCCTCCCAATGCATTTTCCGCCAGCGCAGTCAGTCACTCTGCCCAGCCGCCGACGCAAAAAAACATGCGTACGCGTGTCAGTGGCCATCCTGGCTCAAGCCATCTCGGCTCGAGGTGGCTTGAGAGGCTCGGGCGGCGTCGCACCCCCTGTCCTCGGCCGCGCGGGGCGCAGCGGGTGGGGCAGCGGCGCGGCCTGGCGCCCGCGCCGGCGGAACGGCGATGGACTATGCCTACCAGACCACCCCAGCCCAACCCGAAGACCCGAATTTCGGGTTTTTTTTTGGGGGGGGGGGCGGGCTTCAGATGTGTTTTCTCAATGGTCCCCGACCTCCCCCAACTGGAAATGGAGGGCAAAGCGGGGCCTTCGGGTTGGGTTGGGGTGGTCTGGTGGGTGGTGAGCGATGGCGCAGGCCGGTCTCCCCAACCTCGCGGAGGGCTGGGCCTGGGAGTGGGGCTGGTGCCTTATCCGGGTGCCGCGGCAGGACCGCCCCCCGCCCCTACGACGGGAGCGTGGGCCGGGCCCCACGCGGCCTGGCCCGGCCTTGCGTAAGAAGAAGAAGAAGAAGAAGAAGAAGAAGAAGAGGAAGAAGAAAGCAAAGCCGCCCAGCGGGGTGCGGCGGCGCATGCAGCTGCACGCGGCGAGGGCGGCGGAGGCCCAGGCGAGCAGCTGGCGAGTCCGGGCGACTGCCTGCAGCGCCTGGGGCAGGACCCAGCCCCCTGGCACGAGGACAGGCGGCGCAGCCAGTCGGCAAGAAGAAAAACGGCTGGACGCCACCCCAGCCGGGCGGCGCCGAGAGGCGGAGGCTGCACCAGCCCGCCGCGCCCCTCGCCCCGTCAGCCAGAGGCCCGGCCGCAACAGCGCCGGGCGGACCGAAAGCAGGCGCCCCCCCCCCCCTGCGACGGGTGCGGAACCCCGCGGGCAGCCCGCCGCTCTCCCCGCCGATGGTGGAGACGGCGCACGGCGCGGCAAGTGACGCAAGCAGCGGGAGGCACTCCTCCATCTAATTACTATACTCGAGCGAGGAGGACACGCCGTGCCGGCCGAAGCGCCATCAGCAGCGCGGACGGCGGCCGCGGCTCCGCTTGCACCTTCGCTGGCTCCAGCCGCAGCGGCGCCAGCTCCGGCTGCGCCGGCAGCGGCAGCTTCGGCCGCGCTGGCAGCGGCTCCGCCTGCGCACCGCCAGAGACGCCCGCCGGCAAGGCGGCGGGAGCACGGCAGCGGATCTCCACGAGATCCTGGGGGTTGCCGACTGGGCCTGCTCGGTCGAGCAGCTCGGGGGCGGCGCCTTCCTGCATGGTGCGCCAGGGCAGAGGCGGGCGGGTGCCTGAGCGCAGGCCCGGGCGCGAGCGCCCCGCATGGGGGCGGACTCGGGGCCGGGCTGGCCGCGCCGGACGAGCCAGACAGCTGGCACTGGAGCACGTGCCAGCACACCCCCCGCGCGAGCGAGCACAACCTTGTGGCGTCGTGCGACGCGCTGGGCGGCGCCTGGGGGCGCCCCCTGCTGGCGCGCGCAGGCTTCGGGCCAGCGCCGAGGCCTCGCTGGGCGCACGCTGGTGCCGACGACCTCCGAAGGAGCGAGGCCAGCGGGCAGGAGCTGGCGACCCCGCCGGCGGCGCACGGCGTGCCGACGGCGAGCGCTTCCCAGGAGGCGGCCCACGGCGGTGGCGTAGCGACGCGGCCGGCAGCGCGCCGGCTGCCGGCGCGGGCGCCGGCTGCAGCCGGCGCGGGCGCTGCGAGCGCCTCCCCGGCGGAGGCGGCCCGCGCGCGGCCCTGGCGCGCCGGCTGCTGCTGGCAGCGCCACTACCGAGGACGCGCACCAGGCGGGCGCCGCGGCGAGCGACAACTGGGCGGCCCGCGGCGAGCCTGGAAAGGGCGGCGCCGCCGACGAGGTGGGCAGGCTGGCGAGGCGGCCGCGCACGCTTCCGAGAATGCGGAGGGCTGGCTGCCGTTCCCAAGGCGGCGCTCGCGCCGGCAGCGGCAGGCAGCCCCGCCGGCTGCGCGCGGCGTGCCGCCGGCGAGCGCTTCCCAGGAGACGGCCCGCGGCGGCGGCGCAGCGACGCAGACGGCCACCGCGCCGGCTGCTGGCGTGAGCGCAGCAGGCGCCTCACCGGCAGAGGCGGTCCGCGACCCCGGTGCGCCTGCGGCTGCTGGCGCAGCCGACGCGGACGCACGTCCGGCCGGCGCAGCGGCGAGCGCTCCCGGGGCGGCCCGCGGTGCGCCCGCGCGCGCGAGGAGCTGCTGGGCGCTTTCCGCGAGCGCCCAGCCGCTGGGGGCTGGGCCGCGGCGCGGGAGCTCGCGCCGCTGCTGAGCGTCCGCATGCGGGGCCTCAGCTTCCGGGCGGTGCGGGAGCGCCTCCTGGCGGCCGCCGGGGCGCTCGTGGAGCGCGACGCGGCCGAGGCCATCGCGTGCGGGCGCGGGCTGCTGTGGCAGGAGGCCGCCGCCGAGGCGGCTGGGCGGGCCTGGCGGCGCTCGGCGCTGGCTGCGCCGCCGCGCGGCGGGCTGCGGCGGTGGCTGCGAGGCCTGGCCGCGAGGCTGGGAGCGCGTGCCCCGCAAGGCCGGGGCGCGCGGAGGCGCCGGCTGGGGCGCGGGGAGGCAAGGCTGGGCCGCGACGACGACGACGACGACGACCACGACGCGCTGCGGATGGCCCGTGCGTGTGTGTGTGTGATGTATGTGTGTGTGTGTTGTGTGTGTGAACTTGCCCTGGCGTCGCTTCCCCCTCGGTCTGCTGGTGGTGGACCTAAGTTCCAGCGCTGTCTTGGTCATCGATCCTGGGCGGCTGCCGTTGTCGCTTCCCTGCTGCAACCCGCCTGCTGCCTCGACTTGGCACGGTCGCACTGCTTCGTCTTTCCATCTTTCCCTTTTTTCCTCTTTCCCTATTCCCCCGTCTGTCCCCTCACGGCGGTCGATTTCGTATGGGTTAGTCCTGGTTCCCCCCGCAATGTAAGCTGGGCCGGTGCGCGCACTTGCTCGACCTGTTCTACTCCGCGCCGCCGCGAGCGTGTCTGCGACGCCCAAAAATTGTGCGTGTGCGTATGTGTGTGTGTGTGTGTGTGTGTGTGTGATGCGTGGGCCCGCCGTAGTCGACGACAGAGACGACGATGACGACGCGACGATAACGAGGACGACAAAATCCGATTGGAATCTGAATTGGATCTTACTCGAATTCTGTTGGAATCATCATCTTTGTGATACGACTGGCATTATTTTGGAATATTACTGGAGCCCGAGAATCCGATTGGAGTAATATTGAGACCACATGGGGATCTTTCTGGAACTACTTTGGGAAATTCTTGGGATCGAATTGGGATCCTGTTCAAATTCTGGAACCGCATAGGAGCGCAATAATCCCACTGGAATCGTACTGGGATCCTATTGGAAATTGGGACCCTCTTGTGCCCTATAGGAAATCAATCGGGAACCATCGAAACCGAGACAGAGAAAGAGGGAGAAAGATACTGAAAGAGAGAATGAGAGAGACGAGGGTCATGAAGGAGAATAGGAAGCCCTACGTTGGAATCCCCATGGGATTCAATTGGAATCCTATTAGAATCCGATCGGGATCTGCTTGGATTCCAATAGGGTTGTGATGGGATCCCGCTGGAACTCTTAGGACTTCGACTGGAATCCGTTTGGGATCTTAATCGGATCATGTCGGAGATCCGGTTGAAATCATATTGTAGCCTTGTTGGATCCTATTGGAATCTGCTTGGGCGCCTATTGGAATCTGACTGGGAGTAATTTGTAACCCTATGGGAATCCAATTTGGACTCCCACTGGATACCGAGTGTTACCCAATTGGAATCAGATTGGCATCTCATTATCATTCGATTGGGGTCCTATTGGAGTCCGATTGGGATCTGACTGGAATCCCAGTTGAATCCCCATTGGACTCCGAGTGGGACCTGATCGGAACACGATGCGGATCGTGTTGGAATCCTACCAGGACCCTGGGGAATCCGATTGGAATGCAGTTCAACCCCTATTGGAACCCGATTGGGAACCGACTGGAAGGCTAATCATCCAATTGGAATCTTTTTGGGGCCCTATGAAGTCCATTCGCAGTGCCGTTCTAATTCGATTGGGGTCCTCTAGGAAAGCGGTTGGGGCCCCCTCGGAATCATATTGGTATCCTATCTGCACTGGCTTCAAGGAGCGCAATTGCGCGCCCACGCCCGAGTGACCCGCCGACGCCCCACTGACGACCCGCCCGCACTGCTTCGAAAGATCGGCGTCTGCGGTGGGATGTCTTGCGCAGGCTCCGGAAGAAACAATCAATCGTCCCTGACCGAGTGGCCCGCCCTGTCTCGAAATATTGGCGCCTGCGGTGGCATGCATTGCGCTGGCTCTAAAGAAAAATATGTACTGACTCTGCCCGCGTTGCCCTGATCTCCAAGCCAGTCTCGTTCTAGGCCCTGTCCCAGGAAGCCCGCACGCAAGTTGTAGGGGTTTCGTGCCGTAGCTCCGAAGACGTGCGCGGAGTGTACCGCAACGCTGATCGAGAGATTATGCTGAGCATAAGACACGCTCACCTGAAAAATATCCCCCCCTCTCGCACAAGTGGCGCGCGTGACACGCCGACGACCCACCCACGCTGTTTTGAGAAACCCGCGCCCATGGGGGGCTATTTTGCACCGGCGCTGGAAGACACCATTGTGTGCCTCTGGCCACGGAGCGCACCAATGACCCGCACTGCGAACCACCCAGATTGCATTGCGCTCCGTGGTCGCGCTGCCCTGGCACCGCAGCCTTGGCGACCCCTCACTTCTATACAAAATTGCGGGGCTCAGGTGTCATGCTCCCACTGACATGACAGATGACATACAATGGAACGAGTGCAGAACTCACCGCCAGTGCTAATTCTGGAATGGCGCGGCGGCCGCGAGGTGGTGGACGATGAGAACCAATGAAAGAAATAGCAACCACATGCGCCGGTTGCCATCGGTTGGTTCAACCGTAGAGGTTGGTCAGATGCGGGTGCTCACGGTACTTTCAACACGCTGGCGGAAGACTGGATGATGAGATTAGTTTGATTTTTCGGGGGGCACCATCGGCTGACAAGTTACAGAAGGCTGCCCCTTAGCCCCGCCGAGCTCACTTCTCGACTATCGGCTCTCTAAAACTCTGGGCGCCGCGAGACACTCCAGTGACGAAGAAAGACGGGACGTAAAAGAAAGAGAGATAATGACCAAGAAGTGCAACAGAAGATGCAGCAGGAGTGAAAGTATGCGCGAGAGGGGATTATCGGATTTTCGGGCGGCGCGAGCCACACCAAGGACCAAGGCGAACTCAACCTGAGGGAAGAGAGAGAGAGAGGGGGAGAACAAAACAAAAACGACGACGAAGACGAAGACAAATACGGTGGTGGAAGAAGAACATGAAACGTACGTGAAAGGGCGCTTCCAGTGCCAAGACGTTGGAATCCACCCGGGAGGCTGCTACTTAGCGCGTGGTGCGAGTTCAGACTTGAAGAGGCTCAAACCTGGGGACACCTCTACGGCAAAGTCGTGGCCAGACGATGCCGGCGTTCTTGTCCGATGTCGCCTGGATCATTCACCCGTGGAACGATCGCATCACTCCCATGGCGCAGAACGAACGATCGATTAGGGCTAACTGGCGCGTTCGCCTTGAACGCGTCATGAGAGGAACAAGAGGAGGCATAAATAAACATGATTTCTCCGGGGCGGTGAGGGCATCTCGCCATCGCTCGGACATCTATTCCCCGTGCGTTTGTCGACTCCGTACTTCTATTTTTACCAATCGTGTCACGATGCTCCTCGATGGTCCTCGCCGAGAAAAAAAGCACACGCCCGAGCGATACCGGAGCAGAGGGGCAGCGCAAGGCAGGCGTCCTGCCTGAGCCGCGGTCCTCGCCGCCGCCCGTGCCGCCGCCACCTGCTCGGCGGTCGCTTGGCAAGAGGGGGGGGGGCCAGGAACCTCCGCGCAGACCAAGCCGCAGGCAGGAGAACACACCAGTGAGGGCTCCTGCTGGTTTCTTTTGCCGTCTTGCACTGTCGAATCCCTGTCTCTCTCACCCTCTCTCTCTCTCTCTGTCTCTCCCTCTGTTATCTCTTCCTTTCTCTCTTTCCATCTCTCTCTCTCTCTGTATACATATATGTTTACAGACATCGGTGATATTTTATACATATCTACATATTCATACATATATATATGTATATGAACATATATATATATATATATGTATACATATATATATATATATATATATATATATATATTATCATACGCACCTCTCCGAGGGAGTAGAGCTCAGAGGGGATTAATGCGTCCGTGCGTGCGTCCGTCTTTGATTTTTCTGGCCGTTTCGCTCGGGACATCCTCGAAATTCTGAAAATCGGTGGCACCCCTCACGCAGATCGTGAAGGAGAGGTCCAAAAACACATAGGAATTTCAACATTTTAACATAAAACCTTCAAAAACACATGGTAATTTCAATAATTTTGACCCCGATTCTCAGAGAATGGCGGTTTCGCCTGAGACATCCTCCCAAAATCGAGCCCCAGACCCCTCCTCGGAGCCTCCTGGGGGCCTCCTGGAACCTCCTGGGGCCTCCTGGGGCTTTCTGGACCTTCTGGTACCCCAGACCCCGCCTCGGAGCCTCCTGGAGTTCTCCTGGGCCTGCTGAGGCCGCCTGGGGCCTCCTGGGGCCTCCTGGGGCTTCAGAACTACATGCACACACAGAGACACAAATCACGCCCAACACATCACACGCTAGACAAACATAACATACACACACAACACCGACAACACAAAAAGCACGCACCACACAAAGCACACATCACACACACAACACTCACAATCCTGGGGCCTCCTGGAGCCTCTTCTGGTATCCAAGTCGGGCCTCCTGAGGCTTCCTGGGGGGCCCTGGTACACACATCGCAAGATGTGGCAACCCCACTTGCGCTCGAGTGCGACTTCGCTGTTGCATGTCACTCCTGCTTCAAACGCCCCTTCAGCTTGTTGTATGAGCCTGGGCACACACGTGCCACTTGTATATTAAGTGACACGTGTGTGCCCGGACTCTTACAAACACATGTCCATACTGTGTAAGACGTCGGTGTGTGTTATTTGTGGTGTTTTGTAGGCGTGTGTTGTACGTGGAGTGTGTGCTGTGTGTGCGCTATGTGTGGCTTATGTGTGGGTTATGTGTGATATGCGTGTTAATTATCCGTGCTAGGTGTGCTGTGCGTGTGCGTTGGGTGTGTTGCTTGTGCTGGGTGCTTTGTGTGTCATGTGTGTTGTGTGCGCGCGTGTGTGTGTGTCCTTTGTGTGTTCGTTGTGTGTTGAAAATGTTATGTGTGCGTGTTTTCTGTGTTGTGTGGTGTGTCTTGTGCTTTGTGTGGTTCGTCTGTCCGTGAATGTGTGCGCGAGATGTGTGCATTATCTGTGCATGTTGCACATCAAGGCTCGATGGGGGAAAGATGCCTCAAACGAGCAAAAAGCTGTGCTCCAAGAACCGTGTTGAGGATGTGCTCGATGCTTGAAGCATAGGTGTGTATATAATGATGCTATCTATACAGCCGTACATGCGATTAGGAAAATGCGATGTGTACAGCCGTAAATGCGATTCATGATCATTCCCAGAAAGTGCATGAAGCAAGACTGGGCGAATTTCTGTTAACGCGCGAGGAGACGAACGTGCTCACGAATATGTGCGAGCTTGTCAGCCAGTTGGTTAAGAAACGTTGGCCCAATTTCTCGGGAGGAGGTTTCTTAATCACATGCTCGACCGTATATGCACTGTGTTTGGGCCGCCATTTGCCACCAAGGACTACGAAACAACCATACGTAACATGGCAACGTAGGCATTATCTTGGTCCCGTACTGTTTATGACGCGAGCATTTCTGGGGATACCAACATCTACCGATACCGCTACTCCCCAGACTTCTCATGGGTTGCGTTCTGACTAGGATTTCGAGGCGAATCCAGCTATAGCGACGAGGGCAACCCAGGACGCCCAAAAAACAGAAAACGGGCAACGGGTGTAGAAGAAGACAGAACGCCATAAAAAATCCCTTTTGGCGCTCCGCGCGGATTCCTTCGATCTGCGCTGGACGCGGCGCCGCAGGCGCCGCCGGGGGGGGGCCCAGCGCGGATCCAAGGTATCCGCACGGAGCGCCAAAGGTCTGTGTTCATGGCGTTCTTGCTTCTTCTTCTTCTTCTTCGAGGGTAGCGGTACGTGCACCTTCCTTTTCCTCCTCCGCGCGACGTCTGTCGGGTCGGGCGAAAGGGGGGGATAGCAAAGGGGGAGTTTGAGAATCAGCTCACGTAGCTGACTTTCCCGGCGCCTCCCGGCGCCGGAGGCGCCCATGTACCGAGGAATGGGCCCGGCGGCGGGGCCGAAACCAGCCCCGCCCTTCGTCCGGCCCGAGTCTGGCCCGGGCTCCGAGGCCAGCCCCCCGAGGCCCCCGAGCGGCCGCCGCCACCCACTGGCGGCCCGAGTGGACCCCCGCGGCCTCGCGCGGGCGAGGGCGGGCCCCCCCCCCCCGCAGCCCGAGGGCCCGTGGAGCCGAGGGGCTGCAGCGCAGCCGGCCGCAGCCCCCCAGCCGAGACGAGGCCAGGACGGGGACAACTTCGATGACGATGACGAGTGCGATGAGGATGAGGATGAGGATGAGGATGAGGATAAGGATGATGACGATGGCGATTTCGATAACGATAATGATGACCACACCGTCATCGTCATCGTCGTCGTCATCGTCATCGGCATCGTCGTGAGGATGCAGTCGCACCTAGGACAGAAGACCATCCTTCCAGGACGTGGGGCTCTCCGCTAGCCAAAATGAAGATCATTCGAGGGTACCTTCCCCCAGGGTGCACAAGAACACCCAACACACACACACGAAGAGCACCAGGGCACCCTCCCCGAACATTAGGACAAATTCAGGTGAGGATACAATCGAGACGCTGTCATAAGGAACCCTAGATGAGGAACTAGGCCCCTTGCTTCCATAAGTTAAGCTTTGATGCCCCATAGAACACTCAAGGGACAACCTGAAATAAAACAACAAAGTAACAATGAGCCCCTCCCGAACGCAAAGGGTTCAGCGGCCCGACTGTACATCGAGAATCTCTGAGATCGTTCTGGGACGCTGTGGAACGGATGCATGTTGCGCCTTGCCCCACCCGACCAGTCCCTCCGAGGCTCTCCGAGAACGAGGGAGCAAAGGGTGGCGGCGCGCACAAGGGGGGTGTGGGGGAAGGGGCAAAGCTTCTTAGGACGGTGCTGCTTCTTAGCAGGCACTGGCCCTACAGTCGGGGCCTTGGCCTACAGAAGTTAACCTTCGACTTCCTGCCGAAAACATAAGGAGAGCCTGAGGCAAGCTGTGAAACACTTAAGGAACGCGGAGCCCCTCCCCAACCAAAAGAGTTCCTTCTTCAGGGCCCCGACTGTACATCAATCGACGAGGCCCGCGTCTCCTAAGAAGCAGGGGTGCTTCTCAGAAGCCTCCCTCCCTCCGGGGACGCACTGGCCCAAGTCGAGGCAAACCCGGGGCAGTCCGGCCCTGCAGAGTCCTGCAGGCTCCTGCAGGATCCCGCACCCGAGCCCGGGCCAGTGCGCCCCTGGCCCTGCAGGATCCTGCAAGATCCTGCGCTCTGACTGCCCCTCCCCCTCTCCTGACCTCCTCCTCCTCCTCCTCCTCCTCCTCCTCCTCCTCCTCCTCCTCCTCCTCCTCCTCCTCCTCCTCCTCCTCCTCCTCCTCCTCCTCCTCCTCCTCCTCCTCCTCCTCCTCCTCCTCCTCCTCCCCTCCCCCTCCCCCTCTCCTCCTCCTCCCCCTCCTCCTCCTCCCCCCCCTTCTCCTCCTCCTCCTCCTCCTCCTCCTCCTCCTCCTCCTCCTCCTCCTCCTCCTCCCCCTCCTCCTCCTCCTCCGACCCCTCCTCCGACCCCGGTCTCTTGAGCCTCGGCCCCTGCCCCTCCCTCCCCCGGGGCACTCCGCGCGCGGCCGCTCTCCGACGAGTGGGAAGAGCGAAGAGCAGCACCGACGCCGCCGCTCCGCCCGCCCCCCTCGCGGGGCGCGCTCCAGCCAGGAGCGCAGGGGCGATTCTCGGGCCGGGGAAGGGCGGGGGGGGACGGGCGGCGCCGAGTGGGCCCTGGGAGCGGCAGCGCGTGCTTGCTGCTTCCAGGGACTTGTTTAACACATCGGATTATATATATATATATAAACATAAAAACACATGGGTCGTAGAGTCGGGAGAATGGCATCTCGCGCGCGCGCGCCCGAATCCATAGGATTAGATATAAAAAAAGAAAAAAAACGCGGCCCATGCGCAGACAACCACGTTTCCAGATGTCTGGCTCTTGAGTCGAGGAACGGTAGCAACAGCTGCTCACCGAGGTGGGCAAGGCTCTGCGACAGAACCGGGCACGCGAGCGGGGCCACAGGGCCAGTAAGCAAAAAGGCCCCGTCGTTCCCAGGGCCTGCTGGAGGACAGCCGCCTCGGTATACCTCTTCCTCCCCTTCTGGTGCTGGCAATACTTCCTGCCCATACCCGCTGCTGCTTGGAGTGTCGGGCTCCCCTCCCAAGAAGCCCGAGGCGCAATGGACGTGGATGAAAGTCTGGCCCCCGGAGGCTCCATGTTTATCCATATCCAACGCGCCTCGGCCTTGTGGCGCCCCTTCCACAAAAGCTCCAGATGCAATGATGATGCGGACATGTGTCGCCGCGCCGCTTGTTCCCATCGCGCCCAAGAAGACGTCGCCGAATCCACAACAAGCCCACGACAAGCCCTGCGTCCAGCGCCCCAAACAGACGACGAGGCCGCCAAGCGGCAAAACGCACGACGAGACCACCGCGCTCGAGGCGGTATTTGCCCGACTGTGTGGGGTGAGACAGGGGCGCTGGCACGGCAGAGGTGGACTGCAGCCGCCTGTCGAGGCATCGTCCACTCATCTTAGGAAGCAGCTCCTGGGAAGTCCTCGTGCAAACGACTGAAGGCCACCGAGCCCGAACAACGGGCCACTGGGCAAGATCAGGCCGGTGTAAGCCCGAGAGTGAGCAGGATTCAGCCGGATTGCATGGGAGTGCGCAGGCTCTTCGCCACGGATAGTATACCACCGCCGAGGCTGAACTTCAAACCTCCCAGGAGTGGCCTCCTGACCCGTTGGTCAGGAAGCTGTACTTACAGGCGCAAGAACGCTGGAAAGGCAAGTTTTCCCAGCCTGGCCGCGTGATGAGTATCCAGCCGGATTTTGCAAAGTGCTGGTTTGCAGCCTCCCGGTCTCTGGGGGCCCCGGCGGGGCAGGGCGCCACCTGCTCCGGAGGGCGGTAGTCCTCAAGGTCTTCGTCGCTGCTGTCGCACTCGTAGCCCTCGCAAGGTCCACGCGGGGTGGGTGGATGGGAGTCGCCGCGGCTTTTTTCTGGCAGTCCTAGGAGCCAGCGGGGGGAAGGAGGCGAAGCGCTGCACCTTCTGCTGCCAGTTGTGGGAACACGGAAGAAGTGGGAGGCGAAGGAAAGTGCCACTCTCCTTTCTCCCTCGCCTCCACTCTTCTCATCCCCATCCATTTCCTCCTTCCCCTCCCCCTCCTCGTCCTCAGACTGACGAGAGGAGGGGAAGGATCAGCGCTGAGCGGAAAACAAGCAGCGGGAGCATGGCATGGGGAAGAGATAGGAGGGAGGCCAGCAGAAAGAGCAGCAGACGGGAAGGAGAAGTTACACTAGGAGAAGAAGCAGGAGGAGACGGAGCACCAGCAGCAGGGGAGAGAGAGACAGGAGGGCTGATGGGAGCGACCATCATGAATCCAAAATGCATCAAGGATGTTGCCGCAACCCCTGCCGAGGTCACTACGCTGAACCCCCCTTGAACGACGAGCGCACTTTAGGCTTACCTTCCACGCAAGAGCCCCGTTTTGGAAATTAGCCACCCTACTTTGCTCAAGCTGCACGAAAGATTACAAGATATGTTCGCGAAGCCAAACAATCAACATCAAACGAACACACCGTTTTGAAACGACGCCAGCCGCCCTTTATGCGAGATGCTGTTGCGCCAAAAAGCATGGTTGTCGAAAATGTTGGGGGTCTCTCCGATGAAAGCAAGCTTTTCAAACTGAACGCCCATCCTTGTGGGGTCCCCCCTCCATGTTCGCAGCGCCAAGACGAGGCCCAAGAGTACCACATGTTTTGAAAGCGACTCGCCCTCAATCCATCCAGCTGCTGGAGACGCTGAAGACGAAAGGGGCGCGTCGCCAAACAAATAATCACATTTATCTAATCATCCGTCATCTATCCGTGTATGTGTTGGAACTTCAGGGCTTCATGGGCACAAGTGGTGAGGAAGCCTCATACGAGAACCGGCTCGTCTGGTAGTGAGACGAATGGGGCAATACGGAAGTTTGGGTGTAGGCAAGAGGGATGGGATCGAACTACAGGGCAGCTTTTTATACATTGGATTTTTAATCAGATTTGATTAAGATACATAACTAATCAATGAGTAAAATCGTGCATGAACTCACCGCTGTTTTAAATACTAACACCCTGCATTTTTAATACATGGTGAGCACGCGGAGCAATATGACAAAAAACGGCACTGCATTACCGTGCAACCAAGCAAAGTGTGGTGTGAGATGGCGTGCGAGAGGGACGAGGAGGCAGACTAGGAGGACTGCCCACGCGCAGCCACGGCACCGGCCGAGGGCCCTGCATCTTCATCGGGCATGAATGACAGGAGAACGGGGAGGGTAGAGCGCAAGCTTGTACAGTTCAGTTTTTTATACATAGGATTTTGGAAACATATGGGATGCTTTAATGCGTGATTCATTTTGGCATAAATGTATGCATGAACTCATCGTTGTTTTTGATACTACATCCCTGCATTTTCCATACATGGTCCGCACGCGGAGCATGTACTAAAACAGGCACTGTACAGAGCATCGCAAGAAAATTGGGATGTCCGCGTGCGGTTTCTCCGCTGGTGCCGGACCACCTTCCAGCACCCCTGGGCGGGTCACGGCACAGCTGGCCCCGAACTTGTCAAAGTTGCGCTTGTTCCAATGTGGTGTAACTTTTGCTCAGCGTGTCGCGGCGGCGGCCATGGCGACACGCTACTCCCTGCAAGCTGAGAGCGTGTCGCTCCGCTCTGTGAGGCGTTTGGCTCGAAGAACTGAAGACGTCGACGCCAGGGGACCGGGGCGCGGTTAGCGTGTCGCGCCGCAGCGTGGTGGGCCAGAACCGACAGCGGGATACGCTAAGCAGACGTTCCCCACCGTAACGCCCCTTCAGCCTATCCCCACCTGACGTTACCCCCTGGCTTCCGGCTAATAACTCAGCGCCCTGGCGGCCGCTCAGAACGATACTGGCCCCCTCGAAACTCCATCGGCGAGGCGCAGCTGCTGGAAGGCCTCCTGATGCTGGACAACCACGGAGGAGTCATGAACATGTCTGGAAACCTCGAATCTCGAGCCCAAAGTGTTACCTCGAAGCCCTACAGTGCCCCTAAAACTGCCGCTGGCGCTTTGGGGGCTCGGCCGCCACGCGAGAGGGCCTGCCACCTCCCGACAGCCGCCCCTCGCGGCACCCCTGCTTTGACCACGTGAGTCTTCAGCCAATTAAGGTCATGGTGCACCTCGTCTTCCAGCTACTCCTCGTCCTCCTCGCCCTCCTTCTGCTCCTCGTCCTCGTCGCCCTCCTCCTCCTCGTCACCCTCATCCTCCTGCTGCTGCTCCTCAACCACTCACTACTCCTCATCCTCCTCTTGTTTCTCCTCGTCCACCACCACCTTCTCGTCCTCCCCTTCTTCTTCCTCCAGCTCTACCTCTTACCCCCCTCATTCCTCCTCCTCCTTCGCGTTTCATTTCTCCTCCTTCAGCTCTAATTCGTCATCCTCCTCCTGGACCGAAGGCGGTCTGGGCGCAATCCTCATTATCCTCCTTATCCTCCGTAATGTTCTTCCTCCTCCTCCTCCTCCACCTCGCATTCGTTCTCATCCAGCTATCATTCCTCCCTCTCCTTCCCGACCGAAGACAGTCCCAGCGCACTCATCCTGCTCCTCCTCGTCTTCTACCTCTCATGTATCCTTCTCCTCTCCGTGTCCCTATCCGCTGCTGGCACCGTGGTGCCAGCGCTATTATGCTGTCTTCTCGTCAAAAGGGAAGCTCCGATGGAAGAAAATACACCATTCTCTGTCGCTTTCCAAGATGGAATGCATACATGGGTACATCTATACATGAATCCGCCGAAATTGAGATTCCAGGGAAGAGAACGTGTTCAGCGTTGAAGATGCATGCTGCGTTTTTGATAGTTTCGGCCACAGTGTCGCCCAATTGTTGGGCTTCTCGGAAGATGGTCTCGGGACGCAGGGTGACGCATTCCATGGGGGAGCCCACATGGAACTCACAGGGTGTGTGATGCACCCCAGGAATAAAGGTATTTTGTTGAAGGCGATTCCCGCAGGTGCACGAGTATGTTTGTTGTAATGGGAGCAATGAGAGGGTCATCACCTTCCCAACGACTTCATGACATCCTTGCCTCGTCGGGCTTCACTTTTTCCATGGCAGTGTTCGACGTCCGAACGGGAAAACGCCACGCGGATTTCCGAAGGCCTTGCATCCTGCTCTTGCATCCTCGCACTGTGGGTCGTGCCCGCGTTCTGGCCGGAGCCGTGGCCGCCGCGGGGACGTCGGTGGTATGGCTTTGGACCGGCCGCGCTGGCGGCGGGGCGTTCTGCGCAGCCCTGCAGCGTCGCGGCGCCCGCGGCGCCCGCAGGCCACCCGGGAGGCGACGGCCGCGGCAGGCCGGCGACGCCTGCGAGGCGTGACGGGCTTTACCCACTGGCTGGGGTGGGCGTCGCTCCGGACTGCGCCGTGCCACAGGGAAGGGCCCGCCCTGTCGCTCCCGCAGCCGCGCCCGGCAGACTCCCAGTGGTCAGCGGGGCACGTCCTCGTGTTCTTCAGGACGAGGGTTCTCACCAACGCTGGCGGCTCGGAGGAGGCAGAGGGGATGGCGCGAAGGGGGGGGATGGGCGAGGGCGCCTCCTTCCCAAGAAGGTTCTCGACTCGCTCCACTCCTCGCGCTGCCACAGGCGGAGGAGAGGAAGATGGATGGGGGACGGAAGGGGGAGGAGGCCGCAAGAGCAGCATGTTCCCGAGGACCGTGTGTGCTCTTGCTGCTGCGCTGAATCCCTGGAGCAGGCGCTCCCTGGAGGTTGTCCGCCCGGGAACCGCCTAGGCGCGGGCGCGGAAATCGTTGTACCGGCACGCTCTCCTGCTGGAGGAGCGTGGGCGGGAGGGAAGGGGAGGAGACGAAGGGGGGAGGCAAAGGAAGAAGACGGAGGTGGGGGGGAGGAGGTGGGAGGAGGAGGAGGAGGAGGAGGAGGAGGAGGAGGAGGAGGAGGAGGAGGAGGAGGTGGGAGGAGGAGGAAGAGGAGACGAAGGGGGAGGGAGAGGGCAGCGAGTGCTCCCCGCCGCCAGGCAGACGAGCTGGAGGCCGCGGGCGACGCCTCCCGCGCAGCTGTCTGGCGCGAGGCGATGCGCGTCTGGGAGCTGGAGCAGGGACGCCGCAGGGCTCTGAGGAGAGAGCAGCCCAGCGTGGAGGTCCAGCGTCGTCGTCGTCGTCGTCACTCTTGCTGTTTCCTCTCCTCCTCATCCATCTCGTCTTGCCTGCGTGTTCCTTCTCCTCCAAAGGCGCGGGGAGGTTCCGCCATCGTCGCTGCCGCCCGTGCCGCCGGCTGCGCAACAGCCCCTGGAGGAGCAGGGCCTGGTCAGCGCCCTCCGTGCAATGGCGCCCTGGAGCACCGTGGAGACCGAGTGGGCTTCGCTGGCGAAGGCCGGCCGCACCGCGAGGCTCACGGCAGCGGGGCTGGAAGGTGCACAGGACCGCCTGGCAGCGAAGGGACGGCTCCTGTGGACGGGCGCTTGGGGCCGCCCGTCCGTCCTGTGGACGCAGGGGCGTTGGGTTCATTGATGCCTTTCCAGGCGTCCCCAGTTTGGGCTGCTGGTACAACGGTGCCCAGTGCCTCATCCCTCCTCTCCTCCCCTCCCCTCCCCTCCGCCTTCTTCCTCCTTCTCCCTTCTCCTCCTCCTCCTCCTCCTCTTCCTCCTCCTCCTCCTCCTCGTCCTCCTGCTCCCTCCTCCTCCTCCTCCCTCCTCCCTCTCCTCCTTCCTCCTCCTCCTCCTCCTTCTCCTCCTCCTCCTCTTCCCCCTCCTCCTCCTCCTCCTCCTCCTCCTCTTCCTCCTCCTCCTCCTCCTCCTTCTCCTCCTCCTCCTCCTTCTCCTTCTCCTCCCCGCTCTCTCCCACTTGCTTGCGCCCTCCCCGCTTCCTCCTCGCTCTTGCTCCCTTCCTCCCGCTTCTCTCCTGCTCCGCCATGTTCTCCCCGAAAGTGACCACGGCTTTGTGGGCGGTCAGCGTCTTCCTGCGGGAACAGTGGAAGCAGGGCTAGAAATTTGATCTACAATCCATATCGTCGAGGCCCTGAGCCTCTTCAACCTCTCCGAATATGCGGCGGGCAAAGAACGGAATCATGCAACATAAGCGCAACGTCAACCGTGCAAGAGTAGGCACCACGACTTGTTCAATAGGGGGCCTGGATACACAAGACCATGTCGGTACTATCAGAGACCTTCCTTGGTACTGCACTGGCTGCTCTAATCAAACCAGCCCTCGGCCAGATGAATCTCCCAGCCGTTCTGGCTGAGCACTGTTCTCTAGACAAGCGGGACAAATAACGTGGTGGCTGGGAGCCGACTAATGGCCAAGTGTGAGCTGTCACGCGAAGCTTATGAATCTGGGATACTACTCCTTGTCATATCCTCCTCATCCTGCTGCACCAGCTCACGGCCTTTTCGTCCTCCTCCTCCTCCTCCACCACATCAACCTCCTCCGGCGCCTCCTCCTGCCATCGCACAACGTGGGACATGTGGCAATGATATGGGTGCTGGGCTTCCAAAGCCTCCCGAACCAGTTTGGGCAACGCGCGAGTCCGTATGCCCTTACCCCTCCTCCTCCTCCTCCTCCTCCTCCTCCTCCTCCTCCCGCTCTTCCTTCTCCTCCACCCTCCTGGCCTGCTCTCGATCGACTTCCCTATCCTTTTGTCTCCCTGCTCATACTCCATACCTCCTCTTTCTCATCCGCCACAGTGCGGCGAGGCGCGAAGTGAAGTCCCATCAACAACTGGCTCAGACCCCCCACTCCAGAATCTGCCGGCCCCCTTGCGGGTCCATGGGGCTCCGCGGCCTAGGATTGCTGCTCCCTGCTCCAGTTCCAGTCTCCAGTCTCCGATGTTACAATTCTGTGTTATGCTTCCTACTGTGAACTGCTGAAGTCCGCGCGAGGGGGAGGGGGAAGCCGAAACGGGCCCTGGTTACATTCACTTGGGGGGTTCTCGGATCTTCTGGGGGGTACACGTAAAAAAAAACTGTAGCTTCGCGCTCCCGAAGCCGCACTCCCCTCGCAAATTACACCGTATTTGAAGCCCCGAGGTCATACACCCTCGTCAGTTACGCAACATTCGCGCCCCCGAGGCCATAAACCCTTGCACCTTACAATGTGCGCGCGCTCCCGAGACCAGAATTGCTTGTAAGCTAAACAATGGTTGCGTCTCCAAGGCAGCATTCTCTTGCGAAGTACGCAGAGGCTGCTTTGCGGAAGCCACGACCCTTTGTGAAGTCCGCGTGCTTCTCGCCCACGAAATCATGAACCCTTGTAAAGTATATGGTATTCGCACTTTCGAAGCCACAATCCTTCACACAAGGCCTCAAGACGGTACAGGAAGCCTCCGAGACGGCCCAAGAGTGCTCCAAGGCGCCCACGATTCTCCCAAACGGCCCAAGAGGCCCCCAACGGCCCCCAACCCAAGACCACTCCAAGACGGCCCAAGAGGCTCTCAAGAGCGCCACAAGACGGTTCAAGGGGGCTCCAAGACGGCTCGAGAGACCCCCAAGACAGCTCAAAAGAGCCCCAAGAGGGCTCCAAGAGTGACCCGAGACGGGGGACCCGAACCCAAGTAGCGCCTTGATCTGATGCACTCGGAGCCTGGTTTGGCCTCCAATGTTTCTCCATGTCATGGGATGCCTTGAAAGGGGCCGCCCTGGCTCTCTGCAGTCTGGGAGGCCTGTGGGGCCCTCTGTGGTTTTGGTGTAACTCTCGTGCGCTTGCAGAAGGGAGCACAGGACGGCCCAGGAGGCCCACAACCGAGCCTCGAAGCCCCCAAGAGCTGCCCCCAAAGAGGGGGGAACTCGAGAGACCGCCTCCAGGCCCCTAAGAGACCCCTAGAAGGCCCCCAGAGTCCCCTTGAGAGTCCTCCATCCAGGGAGCCACCAAGAGGCCACAAGAGGCCTCCCAAGAGACCCCAAGAGGCATCTGATAAGCATCTTGTCCACGACCCAAGAAAGGTGAGGTGATGGGACCACGGCAGCTATATATGCTGCCCACTTTTGGCTACCACAACGGTGCACGTGTCGAACTTTGGCTACCCCTCCGGCCTTTCCAAGAAGTCCCCAATGGTCTCCGACTCAAACCGCCAGCCGCCCAGATAGCCCGACCTCGGTGGCTGTCCTGCTTAGGCAGACCCCACGAGGCCTTCAAGACGGTCAAGATGGTCCAATATGCCCCCAAGATGACTCCAAGATCGCCCAAGTGGCTCTCCAAAAAGGCCTCTTAGGACATGATGACCTGAAATGCCTCCAGTGCTGCTTAAGATACCTCCAAGACGGTTCAAGATGGCCCCAAGACGGTCCAGGATGAGCCAAAGACGGGCCAAGACGGCCTCAAGACGGCCCTGGAGGCCCCGAAGGAGGGCGCAGAAAGGCGCATATTATATAGATGTTCCAACAAGATGTGACGATTTTCGCATTCTCCCCTTCCCCGCTTCCGGCAGCGAAAGAGGATCCATGGGGCTTCCAACAGAGCCCACATCCGGTCCAAGAGGCTCCAAGAGAGCCAGGCACCCTATGGCGACCCCAAGGGGGCCCCCGAGACAACCCCAAGCGACCTCCAAGACTGCCCCTCAGAGCCTCAGGAGAGCCCCAAGACAGCCCAAGACGGCCTCTGAAGGCCTTCGACGGGCCAAGAGAGCCCTGAAACTGCCCCAGATGCCCCTCGAGGGCCTCTCAGAGGCAAGCCCCAAGAGACAACTAAAGGGGCCATGGAAGCCACCAAGAGGCCCCAAAGGGGCCGAGAGACCTTGTCCTTCTCGTTTTCATCGGTCTCCTTCTTTTCATTCTCCGGCATGGGGCATGAGGCGGCGGTGGTTCGCCGTAGACGTCTTCGATACAATCCTTCGGAAAGCCCTCCTCGTCCTCCTCCCTCACATATTGCGCTTCGCCCTGCACATTCATCTGGCGGAGGCATGTTCTGCTTTCGTGGCCCGCATTTCCACATTCCACGCGGGCTGGCCTGGCTCTGATGGTTGTGCCCTCTGCCTCTTCGCTCCTCCGACGGTCTCCTCTGGCCTCGAACAGTTAATGCTGACGTATCGTCCCCCCCCCCGTGGCCACTGCAGTGCCCTGGAAAAAGATAACTAGCGACTAGAGAAATCCTGCTATATATACACAACTGTAGATAAACATGTATACAGAAGTGAAGGAAAGAACGAAAGAGAGAGAGAGAGAGAGATGGAGATGGAGAAAGGGAAAGAAAGGGGGATACCTATGGAGGGTTGAGGGCGATACATGTATATATATATATATATATAAGTGTGTATACGTATGTGTGCGAGTCCAATAATTGGTAGCGCAAGTGGTATGTGGTGCGTCATTGTGACTATGCAGAGAAAGGCGGCGCGCATGTGTGTTCGTGTGTTCGCAGGCAGGGGTACGTGCACACATGCATGCAGGTACGATAGACATATACATCGACAGACGCGTGTGTGAGACTATCTAAGGTAGTGGTGGAACGGGGAGCATACACATACACATCCACACGTATAGATGGATCAGTGGGGCGACAAAGACATAGCACTACACATACCGCGAGAAGAGAGAGAGAGAGAGAGAGTGAGACAGAGAGAGAGAGAGAGCGAGCGACAGAGACAATGATAGCGTCAGGCGCAGAGCGGGCGACAGAGAGAGACAGAACGAGCAAGAGCGAGAGAGAGAGAGAGAGAACGGGAGAGATAAAGAGAGAGAGAGAGAGACACATGCACAGACGGAGAAAGAGAGAAAGAGAGAGAGAGAGAGAGAAACATTGATGAAGCTATGAATATAACAATACCAGTGTATAGAGCAAGAGTGGCAGAGGGAGGGACAAAGAGAGACAGAGCGAGAGAGAGAGAGAGAGAGCGAGAGACAGGTATGCATACATGTGTGCATGCATGTGTACGAGTACCACAAATAATGGAGACATGTATAGAACTGGATGTGCAGACGGAGCCAAGGGGGAGCCACGGAGAGAGAGAGAGAGAGAGAGAACGAAAGAAACAAACAAAAACGCGAGAGGGAGAGCGAGTGAGAGAGAACTAAAGAGAGGGAGTGAGAGTACCCTCGGGAAGTCGCCACTGACATGACTCACAAGTCGGCAAAGATGGGGACACACAGGTGCACACACCCAACGAACACGATAAGTATACATATGACTTTACACATACGGAAATACAGAAAAGTACATAGCGCGATACAGGACAACTAGAGCGACTGTGAAACAAAGGGGGGGAAAGAGAGAGAGAGAGCGAGAGAAACAGAGAAAGAGAGAGCGGTAAAGAGAGAGAGAGAGAGAGATTGGGGGATGCACACGTACAAGGGCATGCACACACCATTCATGTGTATATACAAGGATCAAACGTAGGGTCAGACTGGGACTGAAATGGATGCATGCCGATACGCGCATGTGTTTACAATGCATACACGCATGTGCGGACTCCCAGGAGGAAGAAGGACACGTGCCATAGTAAATTGCGGACACGTGTGCACGCAGTCCTATATCAATACTGGGCGTGTGCTTGAGCATGCAAGGGGCGCATATACGACAACAAGGTTGCACCGTTACCTCACTATGTAGTCATTTATTCGCATATATGTATAAAAGCGCATGGTAGACAAACTTGGTACCACATACCGCGTAGAGTGATAGTGCGTGAAGGACTCATACGTGTGTACTTACACATGTGCGAAGATGTAAATACAAAAATGGGAAGCGAGAGGGAGACATGCATGCGTACAGTAAAGAAAACGCAGGTGTTTATGAAGAAAATGGGCAAGCGGGGAGAAACTGCGACGACAACTTGAACACATTGCAGGCGAACAATAGCGAGAGCGACACGGAGAGCCAGATACGTTGCGACGTACGCCTGTGCACTTGTTTCAGCACAAATGTCTATAGTCATCAAGGTACACAGCTCTACGTATACACAGATGTAGTCGTTCGCACGGGCGTTCCAATATGTACGTGCAGTCTCAGGTTGCTACAAGACATTACAAGGACAACAGGCGGTGATACCATGTATGCAAACGTAGTGGGGGGGAACGCCGTACAGAGAGGGAGAGAGAGAGAGAGAGAGCGATATATTGACGGCGGTCGCTAAACTGGGATAGGAAGTGCTATACCTATATCTATATATATATATATATACACGGATCTGCGAATATACACAGGCCTGGGACGGATAGGAGAGAGAGAGAGAGAGAGAGAGAGGGAGCGGAGAGCGAGAGAACGAGATTGATCAAATCATGTGCGGCATGTTGATGGCAGTTATGCCTATACAGAGTCACCAGTGTATGCGTAAATGCTTGAATGCATGTAATCAGATGTATAGGACACTAGGCATACAATACAGTAGAATGATACGCGCAAATATGCAATGTATGACTTGTATACATATAGGTATACACGCCACATAAGCGGTGCATGTGCACATACAGGGCGAGCGAGGGAGGCAGAGAACTACATAGAGCCATCAACTGCTATATGGATGGACGCGCTATAACCAGCGGCCCAGACATGGCATCCGGGCACATGGGTTTGAAGGATCCCGCCGCATCCCATACGAATCACCACTGCATCGGCGACATCGGCGATGCATCGGCGACGTAGGGGACAAGAACATCGGGCCCACCATTGTGCCGCATTGCCGAGGCATCGGCGATGCGGCGCGATCATCCGACCCATCTACTCGGACCCCATGTAGGAGGTCGGGTGCTTAGACATACACATATATACATATGTGTCAGCTGTGAGGGGATTGAGCGCAGTGTATCTAAAAATGCGCGAGGGATGGGGAGCGAGAGAGAGAGAGAGAGAGGGAGCACACACCAATAAGCACGCAGATGCAAGCATACACATAGATGTGTATATATAACGCAGAGAGCAAAAAAGAGATAGAGAGAGAGAGAAACAAAACACATGGGATAAGGACAGTGGGGAGATGGAATTGTGTATATGCGGTCGGCGCCTCACAGCGTCGAGCACCGCGGGGATAGTGTCCAGGGCGGGGTGCGGCGCGCTCATCTCGTCCTCACGCAAGAGCGAAGGCTCACCGATGGAACCCCCTCGCCGACGCTGACCACCAAACAGGCGTCGAACCCGTTGCTATCCCCCTCACCTCCCTGAGGAGGGGGACTGGGAGGGAAAGGAGGGAAAGGGGGGCGTGCAAGACGTGTGTTTACGTGTCCTTGGAGGTTTCTGTGGGCTCTGGAGGCTGGCAGTGAGTTCTTGGAGGCTCCAGGGGGAAGGGGGAGCATCCTAATCTCCCTTGCGCCCCCGTCCTGCGTAACCACAGCCTGCCCGTGGCCGTGAGGATGCCGGGAGGCGCGCGGGGAGGGGACGGACACCTGGCGTATGCACGAGGGTGATCAGGACGAGGAGCGTGGGGAAGAGGGCCAATAAGAAACCGAGGACGCGAGGGTGGGGAGGGCCACGGCGATGCCGAGAGAGACGGGGGGAGCGGGGCAAAAGCCCGGGGCATTGATACGTGTGGCCGAGGTGGAGGAAAACACGCGGGAAGACCACACGGAGAAGCAGGCGAGTGGGATGGGGGGGGGAGTGGCGACGTGAGGAAGAACGACTCGAGGCCAGGCCCACGGGTCAGTGCGACACGCGGCTCCTCATCCTCCACCTCGATCGGGCGGGGGGAAAAGGAGGAAGGGAGACGGGTTTCTGGATGGGGGTGGATGGGAGCGGGCATCAAGATAAGGCCTCCAACTGTACACCGCGTCTGTCCAGCGAGCGTGTCCGAGATTCGGGCCCTGAATTCGGACCCAGAAGGGGGCAAGAGCACTGCGTAATGGGCCCCTGCGGCCCAAGCCGCCACTGAGATGAAAGGGAGAAGGGGAGGGAGGAGGAGGATGAGAATGAGGAGGATGAGGAGGAGCAAGACGAGGCTTTACGATACAGCATGGAGTGTGAAAAACATGAGCGATGTGGAGAGATACTGGTGACGATAGCGGGCATCATCCTTCCCAACGCCTTCTTACCCCGTCCAACGCCCTGCTTATACTCCTGAAAAGACCAAGTTCGAACTCAGCTATTGCAAAACTACGTTGACTGCATATCTAACCACCACACACAGTGGCCATCACCATACTCAAGCTCATACCTTAATTTCTAACTGATGGTATAATATTCGAGCGGCCCGATTAACGGGAATAATCGCGGCAACCCGATCAGAAACAAATGTAAGGTACAACGATACACCGTGATATCTATCTTGACATCTCAACGTCTGGTGAGTCACCTGCGTACAACAAGAGATATGCTTACATATACATATGCATGGAGGTGTCACCGACTACCAAAACGATACAATAAAGGATCGCCAACTGGCGACCCAGATGACGGAATATCAGTGTACATGATGTACCGCGTAAGTACTTAGACAACCCTGCTACACGTGAACAACGTCTGGTAACAATTGCGAGATTCTTGCGAACAAACATACAACAACCTGCCTGACAATCGACAACTGGTGAAACGGACCGTCCATCTAACGGCATCCGTAAGTGTCTAACCAAATATCCGCTCAGGGGCAAACGCAATCTAGCTCGGGACACCCAATAACCGAACGCAAGACAATCAAGGGACATCCAGATGGGGCGCTCGCACGGAACGAAGCGCCAGGCCATGCCCCAGGTGTATCATACATTCTGTACATCGTACTTGTACGTGCCCCTCTCGACCCCGCCCGCGCAACTTCGACCCGCCCGCACGTACGACAACAATCGGGAACGACACCGACCTCCTGGCGTGTGTGGGGGGGAGGGGGCGGGTAACAGGGGATGTGTCGACCCCTATCCCAGGCTTCAACCATCCTCGATAGGGGTACGTCCGAATAGCCCCCTGTCGGTGTATCCCAGGGTTTCCCTCCTTTTCTCAGCCGCTTCATCTTTTGTCAAAACGTCAGGGGTTGGGATAGAAACATCGCCTGCGAGCGGGCGCTCCGTTTCACTCCAATCTCAGCCCGCAACCTCCGGGAACACATAGTCAAACAGGCTATGGGGAAATCGTCACTCGAAAATCGTAAGACCGCTCGGCGGCTCTCCCCAGCAGGTGGCCAATCACCTTCATTATGGTAGTGCACTTTGGATGCGGATGATGCCAGGTTTAAAGCGCATGACACCCAGTGTCAGGCCACTTCCAGCGATGAGTAAACACAATTATCGCGCCCCTCCCCTGCCAGGCCAGCTGTCGGCGGGCACCCTGGAGTTGGTATTGACAAGGAAGGGTGGGATAGATAGAGAGATAGAGAGAAAGAGACACACCCAAAAAACATGTTAGATCAGGCGAACGTGCGATGCAAACTGGTAATTGGTAGGACAGCCCGAAGATCGCCAACATGTGAACGATTGGCTCGGGGGCAGCAGTGCTGGATGAGGCAACGCATCCTGGCAGTGACCATGGGTGGGAACGATCTGGACACCTAACAAGTCGCCGCGGTGATTCAGGGATCGGCCTCGGTTGCGCTGCCTCTTCTAATCCGCAACGGGTGCCCCCGTGGCCCGTGCGAGGTGGCACGAGCTGCCAGGGGAGACGGTGGGTAGGTGCTGCAGCGAGGGCGCCCGAAGATGGCGCAAGAAGCAAGAGCAGGCCGTCCTTGCCCCGGCTGCGGAAGAGCTGAAGGCCGAAGTCGTTCAGCCGCTTCAGCTGCGCCTCGATCTCCTGGGCGAGCGTGCGGGCAAACCATGCTCCAGGCTGATCGGGTGGATGTGGAGGAGGGCGACGATAAAGTAAAATAAACGATGGCAACGAGGGCTTGGAGGCGGAAGAGGGAGAGCAGAAGAGAGAGGCCAGGATAAGGGGGATAATGAAGGAGAAGTGCAGGAGGAGGCTGAGAAACAACATCAAGAGTATCAGGAGGATGTTGAAGAGGTGGCAAGGAGAGCATGGGAGGAAGGACTAGTGACGAGAGGGAAGATGAGGAGAATGAGCCTGCACTGCGCATCCATCCCTCTCCGCCTCCTCCTTCCACTTCCCCTTCCTCCTCCACCAGCTGGACCTCTTGCTCCCTCCTCCTGCCATCCTCGGGAGCACGCAAGACTCGAGTTTTTGGGACTCGAATTCGCCTGACGGGGCCATCAGAAAAATGATGGAACCGGATCTGAATATTTGACGCGAGATCCCGCTTCAAACATTCCACGGAAAACGGTAGCGGCACGCCCGAGCCCACGCAAACTCGAACCTGATAGACCACGTCTTCCCGCTCCGGCTGGCCATCGTCGCAGAACGCGAGGTCCGAAGAAAACGAGGAGGAGCAGGGGGAGGGAGTCTCCAACGCCGACATCAGTCGTCCGCCTCGGCTGTACGTAAGCCGTCGAGCCTTCAGCCCAGGACAGGCAAGGAGGAAGAGGATGAGCGGGAGGAGCCAGGGAGGCTGAGGACGGCGGGGGCGAACAGGGCGTGGAGGAGCAGCGGCACCATGAAGGATGGGGACAGCGAGGGAGGGATGGAGAAAGGAGGGTGGAGGAGGCAGGGATGGGGGATGAGGAGGGACGATGAGGAGAAAGGAGGAAGAGGAGGACCATGGTAAACCCACGACCCATCAACGATGTTACAACAAACCCTCCCCCCCATTTCCCTCATCATAAAATGGGCACGTGTTGCCGCGACGCCTGGGAGGAGCGGGACAAACAACTGCACAAGTCCAAAGTTTCCCGGCGCCGCGCGGGCCTCCTGGATCGGCGCCTCCCCGGTGCGCGGAGCGCGCTCTGGGGGTGGCGCTGGAGGGGCCGCCAAAGGGGGGGCACACCGCCGAGGCAGGGCATTCGCGCGGAGCCCCGCAAGTAGATGTCTCTGCCGGTGCTTCTGCCTCGCTCCTCGTGCAGCACATGCATGGTGTGCCACCGTAGCCCCGCGACGCCTTTCAAAAATTGGGGAGGGCCAAAGGTACCCCCAGGACGACGTACCCCATCCTCCTCCTCCTCCTCCTCCTCCTCCTCCTCCTCCTCCTCCTCCTCCTCCTCCTCCTCGGTCCTCCGCCTCTTCCTCCTCCTCCTCCACCTCGGAAAGGCCAGCACCAGAAGGCGCAGGCAGCGCCCAGGAGGGGGCCGGCACCCGCCGTGGCCGGCTGCGGCCGCGCTCCCGCCATGGGCGGCTGGGCACCCCGCGGGCGGCGGCGGCGGCGCAGGCGCGCCCGGCGGGGGGGCCGCCCTCGGCCACGGCTCCGGCCACGGCGGCCGCCGCGAGGTGGGCCCCGAGGTGGGCCCCGAGGTGGGCCACGGCTCAGGCCGCGGGGCGCGCCGAGGTGGGCTCCGAGGTGCCCCTCTCCGGTGCACGCCTGCTCCGGGGCACGTGTGGCCTCCCCATGGCGTCTCGCACCCTGACGTCCGGGAGCCTCGTGGCGCCTCACGCCCCCGCCCGTCCTGCAGGCTGTCGTTCGACTCGATCGCGTCGGTCACGGCGTCGAAGTTCGCGATGAACCTGCGGGAGGCGCGGCCGCGAATGCCCCTCGTCAGCCCCTTCCTGCGCTTCCTCTCGCTCCCTCTCGCTCCCTCTCGCTCTTCCCCCTACCCCCTCCTCCTCATCTTCCTTCTCATCCGCCCCCCCTCCCTCCCCTCTCCCCCTCCCCCTCTCCCCTCTCCCCCCCTCTCGCCCTCTTCCTCCTCATCTTCCTTCTCCTCCGCCCCTCCCCCTATCCTCCTCCTCCTCCTCCTCCTCCTCCTGCTCCTGCTCCTCCTCCTTCTCCTCCTCCTCCTCCTCCTCCTCCTCCTCCTCCTCCTCCTCCTCCTCCTCCTCCTCCTCCTCCTCCTCCTCCTCCTCCTCCTACCTATTACTGTCATCTTGTCCTACTGTCATACCCTCCTGCTCTCCTACTCTCCTTTTCCTCTTGTCAAATCGTCGTCGTCGTCGAAATCGTCGTAATTGTCGTCGTAATTGTCGTCGTCGTAACCGTCGTCGTCGACGTCGTGATCGTCGTGGCCGTGATCATTGTCGTTGTCGTGGTTGTTTTCGTGGTCGTGGTCGTCGTCGTCGTAATCGTCGTCGTCGTGATCGGCGTCAGAAGTCCTAATCCACCCCCGTCCCATCTGGGGCCCATCACATCTGCTGGGGGGGGGGGGGATGGGTGGGCGTGTGCCGGGAGCCCAGGAACATCTCGGATGCTCCCTTCGGGCCCGCGGGGCGTATCTCTCCCACCTCGGGGGGGGGGGGGGGGGCTGGCGGGACGGAGGTGCGATGGCCCAATAATGGTGGGAGCGGGGGATGGGGACGCGTCGTGCTCACTTCTGACCGTGCTCGTTCCTCACTGTTCCTGGCCCCCTCCAGTGGCCAGGAAGAGGCCCAGGACAGGACATCTTCGACACATGAGAGGACCCCGGCCACCCAACGAAAAAAAAATCCCAGAGCTCCCGCAGGAGTGGAGAGGTGAACCGCGGGGGCGCCGCAGGCCCTGCCGAGGCCCCGGGCCGCCGGGCCCGGGAGGCGCCTCTGCGCCACCTCCCTGCGCTCCTCCAGGATCGCCTCTGCCTGGCGGGGCGCTCGGGCGCCCGCGGGCGCGCGGGGGGGCGCCAGGGGGGCGGGTCGGCGGGCCCTCGCGGAAGGGCGGGGGACGCGCGCGGCCGCAGCCGTTGGAGCGGCGTCGAGGCCCCGAGGGAAGGGAGAGGGAGCCTCCAGCGATGTGGCAGAGAGCGAGACAGAGGGTGTCTTGCCTCGGTCGGTCCTCTGCACGTGGGGGCCCGCGCCGGGCCCCGGGAGGTGGTTTGCAGCGCGGGGAGCCCGTGCGTCAACGAAGCGAACAGTGCAGAGGTTTCCTGTCTTTGTCGGCTGCTCGCAAGTGTGACCCTGGCTGAGAGCGACCTTTGGTGCGCGGCTTTCTGGGGGCCGCGGGGGGACCAAACCTGGGCGCGCAAGCCCCTGCCACCACCCTCGTTTTCAACCATCTGAGGGCACATCTGTGCCCGCACCACAGGTCACTCCGGCAAAAGGTCACTCTTAAGTCTATTCGACTTTGTCGGTCTTCTGCACGTAGGGACCCTCGCCGGGCCCCGGGAAGTGGTCCACAGCGCGGGGGGCCCCGTGTTTCAACGAACGAAGCATCGAAGGTGTAAGGAGAATGGCGGGACAGAGGGAAAGAGAGACAAGGATAAAGAGAGAGAGAGAGAGAGCCAAGACAGGGAGAGGGCCGCGAGCACATAGAAACACGCAGGCCCTAGAAAAATATATGGCTGTCCGCTGCGCGGTCTGCCGCTTCGTGCGCTTACGCTTTCTTGTGCTACGCATGCACAATGTGGGCGCAAAGCCCTGCCAAAAGGCAAAAGAGCAAACGCGTGAAAACTGGGTCGCCCATGAAACGGGCATTTCTCTGCGGGTACGCTGAGATCTGGATTTGCATGAGGCCACCCACGCCCTGAAAGGCCATCATCTTGCAGCCGAGAAGAGTGAAGAGACACAGTGCCTGGCCTGACCATCATCACGCTACCTCGCGGGGTGATGACAGTGTGGAACTACTGCACATATCATGAATCAAAACGGTCTGGCGAGGAACGGGTCCTGCATCTCACAAGTCGTATGTGCTACGGCCCTGGGCCCGAGGCAGGGCCGTCAGGGCCGAAAACAGCTAAACAAACTCAGGAGCGCCTCCTTGCCCATCTGGCGAAACGACGTTAATTAGGACCAGAACAACTTTGGACCGAGACGAAACTGGGATCTTTGAGGCCAGGCAGTTCGGGAGGACACATGATTTGCGGCCGTTGCAGGGCGCACCAGAACGCTACGAGAGCGCTCCAGAAATCCCAGTAGCGATGAGCGATTTACCCTGGTCCTGGTTCCGTCCGACGGACCCCCGACGTCGCAATTTGTTTCGGCAGCGTGGACTGGGACGCAGAAGATACTAGTACTGTGTTTGCTCCCTGGAGGCGTACGTTCGAACCGAACATCTAGTACAAACATCTTCTAGCAGATCGTCTACCGAGCGGCAATATTAGAATTCGCCCGCCACGGAGCGTATATACTAAAGGATTTCTTGACGCGTGCGTCGCCCCATTTGGGGAAGAACGCGCACATAGTACTGACACGCTTCCAAAGCCAGTGGGTACCTTGTTTTCTCTGCAGACTGGACACGTGTAGGTCTCGTCGACTGGGGCACGTTCCGACCAGGACGTCGAGGCAAATTCAGCCGTGCTGACGAGACGCCGCCCGGAGGCCCAAGAGATAGCGACGCGAGCCCGAAAAGCTCGGCCCTCGATCATCCGACCTCGGTGAAGAAACCTCATCGATAGGAGCCTGGAAGAGGCGGCGGGGGGGAAAGGCAGGACCAGCCAGCACCGAGTCGGCAAATCGGATCGAACCCGAGAATATGAAGGATCAGGCTGCACCAGCACGGAGTCGAAGTCGAGTCGGATCGGCTGCACCAGGACGCACAGCAGCGCAACGCACGCACCAGGAAACATCCCAGACATGCGATGTCTTCATTATTTCAATCCGGGATCCCCGGAAGTCCCGACCCCTTCCCCGAAACCAATTTTTCATCCCAGGCCGTTTCCTGACGGTCCCGGGGGCCGATGAGGGCCACCAGGCCAAAAAATCCCACCCACCCCCCTCCCCCCTCCCCCTCCCCCGTTGTGATTTCTGCGCAGCGAAAAAAAGGATTTTCGGACCGTGGGGAAGTCGGAGCCGAGCGTCAGATCGAACCGAGCTGAATCGATGCCGCATCGGACAGGTCGGTCGGAAGGATGGAAAAAGGAGGAGGGGGAGCGAGGGGCCATGGAGGAGGCAGACAGAGCACGACCTTCGGGAGCCCCCTCGTCGCCACGGCTGGACGCAGTTCGAAAAACTTGCTTGGCCCCCCCGGGAGGGGTCCGGGGGTAGATTTTGAGCCGCCGTCGTCTTCATTCGTCCTGCTCCGCAAGGGTGGGAAGGCACACGCTCGAAGGGATAGCGGGCGCGCACTCTTGGGGGGCGATTCGTGGGCGTGGGGGGGGAAAAGGACGGTGCCCTTCTCTGACCCTGAAGGCCCCCTCTCGGGCCCCCAAGGGCCCCTGCAGGGGCCCTATAGGGGGGCTCCTCTCTGCAGCCCTCGCTGCCCCACCCCACTCGTCGCCCAGCACGCGTCCTCCGAGCACATCGGAGTGCAAAACCATCGGGGCGGGCGCCCTGCCTCCTTCCGACCCTGGGCGATCGCGCGGTTGCAGTCGCGCCGGAGCTCCGCCTCGTCGGCGCCGAGATCTGCCTCCTGGGGGCGCGCACCGCACGCAGGGGGAGGGGGCTCACCTCCTCGGATTGGCGGCGCCCACGACTCGCCATCGCTCGGACGTCTTTTCCCTGTGCGGTTTTCGGCTTCGTGCGTGTACTGCTTCGCACGATGACCCAACATGCTCCTCGATGGTACTCGCGGAGGAAAGTGCACGCGCCCGAGCGATACCAAGACGAGGGGGTGGCGAGAGGGGGGTTCGCAAGCGCGAACACATCCACATCCACGCCCTCGCGGTCTGGGTTCCGGGGAGCGGTCATGCGGTTACACGGTCACACGGATACCTCCCGCGCGGGCATCCGCGAGAAGACGGCCCGTATTCGCGGGGTCGCGGCCGAGGGGCCTGGCCCGCGAGGCAGTGGACACGGATATTTCGGTTTTGCGCCCGGAGAAGGTGGGCTTCTAATTCAAACGGTGGCAGATCGTCGGGGAGCTCCGTAGAAACCAGCCCGGCTTCTACACAGGCTTCTTGGAAAACGCCGGGCCCTTCTAAGAAGGGCTCTACCTTCTAAGAAGTTCGTCCGCCTTCTTGGACACCAGCCCCCCTAGCGCCGCCCCCATGACTGGCGCCGCCAACCTCGTGGTGGCAAATGGGAGACCGGCTTTTGTGCTGCAGTTTTCGACGTGCCAGGGCCATCGCCAAGCCCAGGGTCCGTCAAACGACTGCACAGGATGAAAAGCTGGTCCTGCGGAAGGGGTCCCCAGACCTCTGGGGGTCCACGCCGTGGAACAGTCACGACGTCGCGGGGCTGGGCCGGGCGACCGTCGGGGGGCGCGCGACACACACGGGGGGAGGAGGGACACGATGAGCATGGCAGCCAGCATGGAGATCAGGAAGGAGACCCCGTGGCTTTGCGGGGCAAGTTGCTCACGCCTTTGCTCTCTGACTGGCTTGTGGACCTTCGGGTTCTTTCTGCTGCACGTGGCGCTCCACATGGTACTGCTGACCGGGTCCACTCCGACCATGTCGGGCAACCCCTGCGTTTGTGTCACAAGCGCTGCAGCTGGCCGGTGGTGCTGCTGAAGCTGGGACAACGTAACAAAAAGAGGAGGTGGAGGTCGGCCGAGGTTTTCTCGCCACCTTCAGCCTCCCACAGCCACGTCTCGGGCCCCATGACACCCGAAATGGGTACCGAAAGACTGGGCACAATGCCCAGCAACAAATGTTGTCCCAAACCAACAGCGGCCGCTGTTGGGCAGGCGGCCTTCTGTCTCAAATGGACACAGACCGCGGCGGCGCGGACAGCGAGTCCTGTTCAAAATGAACAGGTACTGCTGTTGGGCATTGTACCCATTCTTTCCGTGCCGATCTCGTTCGTGCAGAATGACCGTCGGAAACCAGCGGCGCAGAATTCCAAACGCTGGCACGGTGTGGACCCATGACTGCAGCAGGGCCAACGGCCGTCGGGAGGCGCCACCCCCCCCAAAGGAGGAGGGGGACCCCGACCCTCCAGGGGGGCTGCACGATGACACCAGGTCCTCTGGACTCAGATCCCGGCAGGCGTTCTGACCAGCCCACTCGGGAGGATCAAAGGAGGGGAACCGTGCCCTGAAAAGTCCAGCGTCACCACTTGACTACCGCTATTGCTAGTGCCTCTGCTGCAAGTTTCTTTGTGAGGTGGAGCGTGCCCCGATTGCTGCTACTGTACTCGTTGTTGCAGCTCTGGGAAGTCAAGGGGGGGGAGGAGGAGGAGGAGGAGGAGGAGGAGGAGGAGGAGGAGGAGGAGGAGGAGGAGGACGAGGAGGAGGAGGAGAATGGGGAGGAGGGAGAGGTGGAGGAGGAGGGGGATGGGCCTAGCTCTGTCTCCTCCACGTCTCCTCTCTGAGGGGGGCGTTTTGGCCACGGTGCTCTGACCTGCGGATGAGTTCTGTCGGCTTCCGCGGATACCATCCCTTCCCCGTTCCCTCTTTCTCCGTCCTGCTTGATGCCCTTCCTGCTCCTTTTGCTCATGCTGGTGCCCCTCTTCATTTCCCAGAGAGGGAACGTGAGAAAGGGCGCCAAAGAGGAGACACCTCCAGGGATGCTGGCATTTTCCTTGGCGCTGACGGACCCAACAGGCCTGCGTCCTTCTCTCCTCCGCCTCCTTCTCTTCACCACGCCAACCGCAGGCGTGCACTCGTGCAGTTGCGCAGGCTGCGCGAAGCGAGCCCTGCGCGCACCGTCCCTTCCTGTGATTTGGTCGCTCAGCCTCGGGTGGCCGATGACGAGCTGCGACGACGAAGAAATGAATGCAAAAAAACATGCTGAAACAAAGAATACGGAATGTGAACGAGAGGCGCGGGGGGGAGACGGACAAAGCGAGAGAAAGAGAGAGAGAGAAACAACAACCCCACAAAGCACGAGAGGTGAACAGATAGAGAGAGAGAGAGAGAAAGAGGGAGGGGGTATGGGAGATGATGCTGGCTGTTGAAGAAAAGGGGCCAGCGCCGAGGTGGAGCATCATAATGCCGACTAGCTCGAAGGTGACGGGGTGAAGAAGCAGGAGGACGAGGCGGAGGGGCAAACGAGGGACGGGGCCACGAATGAAGCGAACGAACATCATTGGAAGCGAGGGTGCTTCTGTCCACGCAGACGGACCAGGGATGAGGAGGAGCCCACGCCACTGTGAAGGTCCCCGCTCCCGCCACACCAGGGAACCGGGCGGCGGGGCCACTTAGAGCCTCGTCGTCGGGGCCGACCTGCTCCCCAGAGGTGTTGTCGAAGATGGAGGAGGAGGAGGTGGAGGATGGCACGTTATATGTTCATGTTTGTTACGGTGTTGTACCCCTTCTCCCATCGGCTGTCTGCTTTATTATTCTGCGCCCTCTGGGCACGTCTTGTTTTCCCAACTCCTTCTGACTATGTGCCCGAACTGACAGCAACCTTCATTCGTGTTCGCGCTTCGATAGGGACGAAGGCTTACTTGTTTAGCCACCTGAAGAACGCAACCGCCTCGATGCTTCTGATGACCAATGTCATGATGGAGGCGGAGGAGGAGGATGAGGATGGATGCGGAGGGTGAGGTGCCGTCGAGGGCGGAGGAGGAGGAGGAGGAGGAGGAGGAGGAGGAGGGTTGCAGCGTCTGCCCTACCTCCCTGCAATAAAGTAATCAGTATTCGTGGAAATGGGGCAGGGACCGACCCTCCCAGCATGCCTATAGGCCTACCACGACATTTTCGTATAACCTTAACATGTTATGATAACACGAACATTGCATTTATAGCAGAAGCCCGATGTGCAAACACTATATATACGTATATCTATATATATATATATATATATACGCACGATGAACCAACAAGCTTTAAGAACATACCGTGCAGACCACCAAAGGTTCTTAGAACATTAACGCCTCGCCACTGCTCGAGAGGAGGAGGAGGAAGAATAAGAGGAGGAGGAGGAGGAGGAGGAGGAGGAGGAGAAGGAGGAGGAGGGGGAAGAGGAGGAGGACGAGAAGGAGGACGAGGCCGAGGACAGATGCGTCGGCGACGGCGCGCTGGCGCCGCGCCGCGCGGCGCCCGGAGCGGCGCTGCGGGCCCCGCTGGCGGCAGCCGAGCCGCGGGGGCGGGTCGCGCTGCGGGCCCCGCTCGGCTAGGACAGGAGAACAGCCTTCAAAAATACGCGGGACCCTCCGCTGGCCAAAACAAACTTTGTGGTCTGCGGGGCGAGAGCGAGCCTCTTCCGGTCAAGAGCTAGGCGGGCTACGCACAGCTCTAATTGGGGAGACAGGGCACAGGCGGGCGGGGCCTCCGGCGGCCAGAGGGCGGGCCGGGGTGCAGGCGGTGCCGAAGAGCTTCCGCTGGTCAAAGCACACAGAACATCTTAAGGTACCCTCTCTGGAATGCACAGGAGCATCCAACAGACGCGAAGAACACGAGGGTACCCTCCCCGCTCGGTGCCACTGGAGGAGCAGACATGAGCCAGCGTGGTAAGACGAAGCCAAGACGAGGATACCTTCGGGCGAGGATACATCGAGAATCTCTGAGATCGGTAGGATCTGAAACATGTCTCGAGAGTCGCGGCATCTTCAGAGCGTTCTGGAACGCTATGAGAGCGTTCCTGAACGCTCTGGAACGGACTTATCCTCATCCTAGCCTTGTCCGACGTGGGCCCAAACCAGTGTTTCATGTAACAGCATATCTCGCCGCGCCGTGTACCCTCGACGCGCCCAAATGAACGGCGCTGACACCACGGCAAACCCACCAGCAAACCTTCGCGTCTGAGGCGGAATCTGCCCTGGTGGCCGAGGCGCCCCTCCAAGCACGTAAGGCCGCGCGCCGAAACAAACGGCGCGGCGACAGAGGTGGAGCAATCTACGTGGCGCAATATGTCTTGTGCAGCCTATGTTGTGCAATAGCTGATGGGCAGTCTATATTGTGCAATCTACATGGTGCAAAACATATGTTGCAGTCTATGTGGTGCAACCAATATGATGCAACATTTTACATTCTATGTGGAATATACCCTGACCAAACTAGTTGTGCCTAATATGTGCTGCGATGTATGCGGTGCAATCTATGTGGTGCCATATTTGCCGCCAGACCGCCAGCCAGGCCCAGAAGACGGGCGGCGACGAGGCCGCGATGGCGGCAACATACCGGCCAAATCGCCACCCAGGCCCAAACTACGGTCGGCGACGGGGCAGCGACGGCGGCAACATAGCCGCCAGACCGCCACCCAGGCCCAGTTCCTTAAAAGAGAAGTAAGGCCCTAAGTGCAAGCACTGTTTGGGGAAAACTGCATAAACACAAATTCTCGACAGGCCTGGGGCACCCTGGAAATTTGATCATCGACCAAAAGGTCATGCTTCTTGTAGCGGTGCTTCTTGCCGTCAGCATCTGCTGTATGGGTACCTCTTCCTCGCCCGAGAAAAAGCAGCAACATCTAGTTTCAGACTTCTTGGACCTGCAATGGACCCCCCCCTCCCTGGCGCACAAAGCGCGCCAGGGCGGGACGCCGAAAGCGCCGCCAGGGGATGCCCAGCGCCGATCCAAGAGACCCGCGCGGCCATCCGAGAATTACGGCCGTGGACGTGCAAGGCCTTGCGAGCGGGTAGCGTTCGTGGCGGGAGCCTGGGGTAAACTCGAGCCGTTGACGCTTGGTGAGTGGGATGTGGGTAGCGAGTCGCGCATTGACGCGGCGGACCAGAACCAGCGACGCGGCACGCTGAGCCAAAGCCTCTGCCCATATGTTTAAGCTCTTCCACCACTCCCCCGCCGATTCTCGGCGGTCGGGCCTCCTCCCTCTCTCCCCTCTTCCGCGGCCGCCCTCTTCTTTCCCAGTCTTCTGCCACCCGCCCGGAGCCTCGCCAGTGTCGCCCCCCCCCCCCCCCCCCTGCGTTCGCCAGCGCTGCCGAGGACAACCAAGAAGAATCCAAACGCATCCTCAGGAATCCCTAAGAAACCCTAAAAATCACTAGGAATCCCTACGAATCCTTAGGACTCCCATACGAATCCTTAAGACTCCTTGCCTTGCCCGTCCGGGTCTAGTGAACCCATGCAAACCTGTACAATTTGCAAGGACCCCTATACAATTTTAACGAATCCTGAAGAACCCCCAGGAATGCAAAGAAATCCCCAGGGATCCATAGGAATCATGCGAACCCCTAGGAATCATACTAATCCCGAGGAGTCCGTAGGAATTCCTACAACTCCCTACGACTTCCTAGGGATCCCTAGAAATCCCTACGAATCCTTAGGACTCCCATACGAATCCTTAAGACTCCTTGCCCAAACCGAACGCCTTGCCCGTCTGGGTTCCGAGTGAAACCCTTATGAGCCCCTACAAGTCCTTACGAGTTGCCAAAATTCATACGGATTTCACGACCTATTAAATCCATATGAATCCCTAGAAATGCATAGGAATCGCTGGGAATACATAGGAATTCATAGGAATCCTTAAGAATCCCAAGAGCGTTTCCTCTTCCACCCCTCCTTCTTCCCCTTCGGGGAGGGGTTTACCCCTCCCCCTACCCCCTCCCCACTGACCTGGACAGGGGGGGGCGCGGGTAGTTAGAGCGTCCAAGAACGACCCCTGGGAGGGCTAAAATTCGACACCCCTCACGAGGTTCGTGCCCCCCAGGGGGGCGACGCTAAAAAATGCTTTCCCCTTCTGCGATCGATGTCCTCCAAGAGGGCCTCAAGAGACGTGTCGGACTCTCCTCTTGCGCCCTGCGCGCGGGCGGGCGGAGCGCCGCCCGCCCGCCCGCGAGGCCCAAGAGCCCACCAAAACGTTCGAAGATACCTCCAAGACGCCACCAGGGAAGAGGAAGAGGCGGAGGAGGAGGAGGAGGAAGGGAGGAGGAGGAGAAGGCGGAGGAGAAGGAGGAAGAGGGGGAGGAGAACAGCTGCCGATCATCGGCGCTCTTCGTTCGAGTGCCTGGTGTAGGATGGGCTGGTGGGGATACGCGAAGCGTCAAGAATTTGTTTTGCCAGGAAGACTTGCGAAAACCAATCGCGAGTGGACCTTTGAAACGCGTCTCACGGCACGCCTGTCGAATATCGTGAGGTATCTTTGTGGGAGTGGTCTGCACAGGCGCAGCGCACTCCCAACTCACGTCTCCAGGGCTTTGTAATCATCATATAAGCATCGCGTCTTTGTAACAAATCTTAGCCCTCAGCGCACAGGGGGGATCCGCCAATCAACACTATGCGCGGCCTAAGCATCATTGAAAAGTGCTGCCATTCTCGAACCCATCATTCCTACTTGGACCATCGCTGGCATCGGGCGCAGTTTCGCCCAACATGGAGACTACACCGCTCCTTTCATCCTCACTCAGCAGGCGTCGTCGAAAACGTCGGCGCCGCGGTCGCCAAAGTCGACGGGATGTCCATCTCCGCCTGCGGAATGAGCTTCAAGAACGGCGTGACGGCGACCAGCACCGGCAACACCACGACCATCACTGCGCAATACACCGCGGTCAGGTACTGCAGGGCTTTGATTGCCCGGGCCATGCAGGTCCCAGCGAACAATTTCACACAATGCCAGGCCCCAAGCGCCAAGTTTCCTGAGCGAAGCGCGTGATCCCACTCTACCATGCCCGCGGCGGGCTGGTAGTCTACAGCCACAACCTTGTCATGGACCCAGCCCAAGCGATCGCCCGGCCAAGCGTCTTCGCTGACGAACTGCACATCACCAGAAGTGTCGTCCAGATTGAAAAGGAAGAGCAGGCCCAAGGAGTCCATGATGATTTCCTTGGGGCTGAGGCTGCCGCCGATTACGAAGTAGGAGTCGAGGACGCACCAAAAGATGACCCAAAGATTGGTGAATGCCCCGAGGTAGAGCCACCGCTCGCCGTTGAGGTCAACCGATGGGTTGATACGATTCAAATATCGGAATATGTTGTCGTTTTTTCGCCAAGTGTCCATCTCATCCAGAACCGTGTACAAGGCATTGATGCAAAACAGGAAGACGAGGCTAACTGCGAGAGATTTTGTAGTTGCGATGCGGTTCCAGTCGCTTGTAGTGGGCTCGTAGCCACCAGCTTTCCACCTATCCCACGCAATATGGTCTTCACTTCTTACTCCCCATCCGAACCACATGCTCATGAAAATAGCCGGGGGCGCCACCCACTGGAGCAGCACCACCGCCGCGAAGCCGAAGAGCCGCACCGCGGCCTTGAAACCCCGTTGCGAGCACTGCCCGAGGCTCCTTGTGTGCCTCCCGAAGGCAGCGATGCGGTAGATGTTCCCGGGCAGGGCGTGGCACTCCACCAGCCAGTCGTCCCTGATGACCTCCTCGGCAATGCTGCACAACTGCAGCCCGCTCTGCGCACTCGCGATCCTCATCTTCGCGTACTCCTGCTCGTCCTCCTTACTCCTGCTCGCCGCCCCGCTCGTCTCTTGCACCCGCAGCAGGGGGGCGGCTGGCTCCCCCAGCTCGCTGTCTGGCGAGGGCGCGCCGTGCCGGGCGCAGCGTAGCAGGAGTCTTTCCCTGTGGCCGGCCACGGCCATCTCGGCGTCCTGGGCGCGAGCCCCGCGGGCCCAGGCGGCGCCGCGGGGCTCCAGGGCTGCCGCCCGGAGTGCCCTCGGGACGAGCGACCGCATTCGTGCCCGAGGCGCCCGCGGCGAAGCGCGGTGCGCGCGCGGGGGCGGACCGAGCCCCCACCTCGAGCCGCGGGGAGCTTTTGCGCCAAAGCTTGAGGCAGAATGGCTTGAGCCACATAGGAAC